GGGGGGGGACACGGGCACTGCAGGAACGTCATTCATTGTGCGTTTCTGTCGGTTATCTATCTCAGGCGTCTGTCGTTTTGGGGCAAGGCCCATTTTTGTGAAGAGCATCAGCACGAGGAAGGCGCCAAGGTGTGCGACCAGTCTGGCCGCCCACCTGGAGCTGATGATGTATATGACGGGCTTGCCCGCAGCGGCCATGGGGGTGATCTTGCTCGTCGTCACGGTCTGTCTGGCTGGGTATGACCATCTGTGAGTGAGTATGTGTGTGCGGTGAGGTGAGACCACTTGGGTACCGGTGTTGAATGTGTTGCAATCGTATCTCTCTCTCTCTCTGTCCGGTAAGTCCGAGCACACGCAGCACGCAGAACGCATCACGCGTATGCAATGCAGACACACACACACAGCCCCCCAAGTACATACGACTATGTAGATGCACTCACTCACACACAGACACACACAGGCACACTTATAAATCGCCATGCCATGCAGACCAGACAGCCAAAACCAATCCACAGACCTGCGATGGTTGGGGACGTCATTCACGGGGCGGGCGAGAAAACCTGCGATACTAGAGAAAGGGCCCGCGATAGAAGCCTTGGCAGGCAGCGCATGAAGAGGGAAAGGGATCGGAAAGCTCTCTGTCTGCCTGACTAGGGAAGTGGCAGTGTGCACGTAGGCAGCCCATCCATGTAACTACCTATGTGATGTATATGGCGATGATGGACTATGGAATGAATCAGTGGAGCTATGCTCGTGTACTTGAGGATGCGTACGTACGTCTACACACCCCTTTGGATATGACTGACTGGCTGACTGACTGACGACTGACTCACTGACTAGCTGGCTGACTCGAGCGACAGACAGAGAGACTTCTCTTCTTCAGATATGCGTGCGTACATTGACACAGACAAAGGAGAAGTTAACACACCCACAGCCCCATACAGCTACTCAGCATATGCATACAGACGCCTCTCCATGTGTGCATCGAAAACCCCACACGCATGTAGGTAGCATAGCAGCACCTGGCCGTCACGATCGATGTCCCTCAAGCTTCGTGACGGTAAAAAAACAGCGAGCGGCTTTGTACACCTGCCTGGCCTGTACGTGTGCCTGTGTGTGAAACTTCCATTGCGCAATGCATTGGGAAACTTGACACCCTTCGCCAGCCAGCAGTGCCTGCCTGCGATATAATACAACCATCATCCCCCCTCCACTCCACTGACAAATGACAATCCAATCGCAGCAACATCATCCATCCCGTCAATCCATGTACACACGCCACACGCTACGTCACGCACATCTGTTGACATGACATCGCCGCCGAATTAGCTCACACACACGCACCTGTCTCTCTCGCTCGCTCTCGCTGTGTGAATGGTGTGAGGCTGCCTGTGTCCCCCTCTCCCGTCGCGTCATCTCTAGGTGCATAAAAGTACATATTCTCACTATCACGACTGACTGACTATCTTGCCGTGCCGCGTATGTGCGCATGCATGGCATGCACCCCCCCTCACCACATCATATCATACATCGTCCCTCATTCATCCCAGCTGGGGCAGGTCGGTCGGGGGAGAAGGTGGCGGGCAGTACCGACCGATCGCCGCCCGCAGCGTCTCATCTCCATCCAGCACGCTGATGCAACCGCTGCTCGTCGTGGCCGTCGGCGACGCGATGGCCTTCTGCGACAATGACAGACTCTCCAGGAGCCCAAAGAGAGACGGCGCCGTCGACCGGCCCGTCTGCCCACCAGCTGGGGTGAGCTGATCGCCCTCATTGTCAGCCGCCTTCTCATTGCTGTCGGGGTGGGACGGCTCGGATGCTCCGGATGGCTCTGTGGTGTCCTCTGCATCGGCTGCGGCCTTCTCCTGCGTCACACAAGGGTCGTTCTGGAACGTCTCGACGTACATGTCGCCATCGCCCCCCTCCCGCGGCCGCCAGGTGATGCCGGGGGAGACCTGCTTCGTCCTCTGGGCGGCGGCGTGTGTGCGGCTGCGCGTGCTGCTCTTGGCGTTGGTGGCTTGTCGGTGTCGGCATATCATGCAGGTGCAGAGGACGCCGTCGGCAGCGGCGGCGACCACCACCAGGATGGCAAGAGCCATGACGGCCATGTCAGGGCCGGCGGGCGGTGTGAAGATCTTCTGCCGACTGTGGTCGCTGGCGAGGCGGCGGAGCCTCCTCTGCCGTTTGTCGCCGCTGTTGGTGGCACTGCCGTCGACGCTTGACGCCATGAGGACCTCTTCCTCGTCTGTGTTGAGTGGGTTGATGTCGATGGGGACCTGAGGACTGCATGTCTCGGCATCGTTGGGAACCAGGTCCCATATGCAAAACTGCAGGATGCAGGGATGGAGGGTGGGTTGCTCTGGACATACACGTACACACATACACATACACACACACACAGAGGATGTGTCCATTCTGTCGTTGGGAGGGTAAGCGTACCGATCACTTCAAATCGGATGTACCAGGTGCCGTTGTAGTAGTCGCGTGGCGTCATGAAGTCCTCGGGCCAGCCCTCAGGCAGCGTCACGTTGGCCTTGGTCTCCTCGCTGCCGTATTTCTCCAGCTCTATCAAGTTGAAATACGAACCTGACCACATACATTTACACCATGAACACAGAGACGGTGGGAGTAAGGACGAGCATCCACTCACCGGCCGGGTCGTAGCTTTCGTCCATCGTGATGGTCTCGTCCATGATGAGCAGTACGCCATTGACATTCCCGTCCTCGGCGTACTTGGCAATGTCAATGGTGGCCTCGTGGCCAGCGGGAGCAGCAAGCACGGTGAGCCGCGCCTTCATGGGGTAGTAGTCGGTGTGTCGGTCCCAGCAGCGATTTTCAGGATCGGACTCTTTCTGTGTCAGGTGGCAGCCTGGCAGAGGCGACAGGGCTCTTGTCATGGTTGTGTGTGCTGCTGTTGATTCTGATAAGCGTGTGTAGTCACCTGGGAATGCCCCCTGGTCGCTGTCGCCCGCCCGGAACGGCACGCCGATCTTGTCCCAGCCGGCGGGAGACTTGAAGTCTACCTGCAGAAGGACACACAAGTGACAGCTCGTCTGTCTACCTGGTCTCCTTGATTATGCCTCCACTCACCGGCGAGTCACTGTTGTGCTGCCACCATTCAGCCGGGCTGGTGACGAGAATGCCCACTCCTCCGCCCTTGCCAGCCATCTCTTCCTCTCCCTCTATATCGCTGGGTGGGGCCGTCGACACCAACGCTGACGAGACGAAACAAGACAATAAGAAAGGAATGAGGGACCGACAGAGTGCCTGCCTGCCTGCCTGTGAGTGCATACCTGGGTCGTATTCGAGCACGCTGCACGACCAAGTCTCTGTGTCGCCATCGGGTGGGCACGCAGCCTCGAGGGGGCGGCACTGGGCATATGTCTAGTCGAAGGTGGAAGCAGGCAGGTCACACGCACGTATCCACGTTGCCGGTCGGTTAGCCAGCTGCTTACCTCGTCTTTCTCCATGCAGTAGTGTGTGGGGTCCTGGCAGCATCGAGTGCCCAGACAGTCTTCGAAGTCGGCAGAACAGTCCATCTCACGATTGACATCTGCCGGCAGGGGCGGCTCCTGGGGAATGTCATTTACCACGGAGCTGCACAAGAAGGAATCATCCACAGAACGATCAGTTGTCGGCTTGAGAGACGTTCTTGGCTTACTCAGGGACGATAAGTGTGTCGATGATGTGCACCACACCGTTCCCTGCCAGCAGGTCAGCCTTGACGACGGCAGCTCTCTTGTTGCCGGCAGTGACGGCCTTGCTCGTGTAGACCATGGGTTCACCGAGCAGAGGCGTCACACTCTCAGCCTCGGCCATGGCCGCTGCACAAGAGATAGATAGACTAGACATAAGAGGTGCCTTCTCCTTGTGGGCCATCCCACCGTCTGTGTATGTGTCCCAGATGACGTGGTGGAGCATTAACTGATGACACACAGACAGGGCTTGGTTCGGATCGCACATTGCCCCGCCATGTCCCCTCCTCACTCACCTCATTGAGTTTGTCAGACTTCCTGGCGACCAGGCGGGCGGTATCGGCGTCCAGCTTGCCGAAGGCATCGTTGCTGGGCGCCAGGATTGTGTAAGTGGAATTTGGCTCCACCAGCAGGGCAGACAAGCCCGCCACCTTGATCCACTCCCAGAATGTGGACGTCTCCTGACAGACAGAGGGACCACAGCAACGCAACACCCCTTATGTGACGGCTGGCTGGAAGTTTTGTCCAGGTACCGACCTCTGTTGTGGCCAAGAAGGAGATGACCGTATCATTCGCTGCTGCAACCATGCCTGGTCAGGTGTCCTGTCTTGTATTGTCTGTCTCCTTACACTTACCACCATCAGCCGTATCGGCTTCGTTGGACAGCACCTGACAGCTCCACTCCCACTCATCTGGGGGACACGCCTCGGCTGCAGGCCGACACTGAGCAAACTCCTGAACCCACCACAGACCATTCAACCCCGTGTTGTGTTGGTCATGTCTTCATGTCTGTGTGATCGGGTATTTTGTTTCGTCTACCGCATTTGATTGTTTGCACTGGAAGTCCTTGCTAGCGCAGCAGTGGGTGTGGACGCACCCATCAAAGTCACTAGAGCAGCCGGCAGGGCCATCCACTGGAGCTGCCACTCTGTTGATCTCTGCAACGCGGACAGAAAGACACACAAGGAACACGGAACACGTCAAGTAACCGCATCGGCCTCCCTCTCATCGCACCTCTGACATCCCCGTCAGCAGGCGGCCCCGTCAGGACGGCCTCCCAGTAGGGAGCGCATATCTCTCGTTGGAAGTCGTCTTGCCATATGCAGAACTGAAAGGTCGTGCTGGCGTTGCTCGGCTGCTGATAGACCTCATAGCGGAAGAACCACTCGCCCAGCGTGAAGTTGTGCGGTGACGTCCAGTCCTTCGGCCAATAGTCCGGGAAAACGCCTACAGGAACGACGCACACACATCAGCACTCGTGCGTCTGTGCTGACAATGCGTGCATCTATCGGCTGACCTACCGCCTTGGTCGTGGACGGGGTAGTACCAGAAGCCGTGATCGAAGTTGGGCTTGTTTTGCTCGACCATGGTGATCTCCTCATCGAACGCCAAGAACTGACTGGTGTTCTGCCCGCTGGGCAGCTCACTCTTGGGCGTGTTCATGTAGTAGGCCCAGCCCCTGAAGCTGTCCCCGCTGGCCACAGCAACCACCGTCGCTCTGAAACTGATCGGTAGATACGCCGCCCGCCGGTTCCAGCACCCATCAGGACCCTTGGAGAGGTCCGACACGATGCACCCGCTATCGACCAGCTCGGATGTGCCGGCAGACTCCTCTTGCAGCCTCCTCTTGGTCTCCTGCGCGACGGGGATCCTCAGTTCAAGCTCGGGCATGAGGGCGGCGAGGTCGGATGCGTTCATCATGGAGCGCAGGGGCAGCCCCAGGTGTTGGAAGGTGTGCGGCCTGTCGAACTGGACGGGGCTGTCAGGGTACTTCTCCCACCACGACGACGGCTTGCTGGAAGTGATGGCCACGCTGCCGCCATGCACTTGCCACAACCAGCAGCATGATGAGGCCGCCAGGGCCCAGAGGAGGCGCATGGCGGGGCCGCCGCCCAGCGTTGTCCGTGGTGCTTCTCTTGTGGCGTGCGCCTGCCCCCCTGCGTGCGAAAGCAACACACGATGCAACCGCCGATCGACACAGCGTTCACTTTTAACGGCTGGTCGTTGGACGAACGGCAGGCTTTTTGCAAAACCAGCCCAGACTTTTTTCTTCTTTTCCCCTTCCTCTCGCGCCTTGTCCTCTCGCTGCCAAGTGCGTTTTGCTGTGTAGTAGGTGTAGCCATCAGCCCGTAGGACAGATACCGACTACACACCGGTAGAGTAGACACGGCCGACGAAGGATGGCAGCGCGACTCTCCCTGTTGCTGCTGAGCTGTCTGCTCGCCCTCACAGCCCTCCCCTTCACAGGCAAGCACACCACAGCACAGAGCGGCGCAGTCAGGAAAAGACACGGACACACACCCCCTCTTTGTTGCTCTGCCGTTGCAGTGTGTCAGGAGGCCACTTCGCCTCCCGCCGCCGATGACAGCGACAGCGCGGCCTCTGTGGGGTCTCCCGGTGCGGGTGCGGCCGACAAGAGCGTGGACCAGGTGCTGGCTGACCTGAAGAAGGACGAGGAGGCCAAGGCGGCCGAGGGCGATGACGAGGAGACCCCTCTGCCCTCCGGCCCGATGCCCGAGAACTGCACCACGTCGGGCGTCCAGTATATCGGACAGCTCGTCACCGACTTCGTCCCGCTCTACAAGGAGGAACGGTCAGTCAGTCAGGGTGCGTGGGTCCCCGGGGGACAGGCACACGCAACACCACACCATCCTTCGCCTGCACTTGTTGTCTGTCTGTCTTTGCTGTCCCTTCCCTCCCTCCGTCTCTCTCTCTCTCTCTCTCTCTCTCTGTGTGTGTGTGTGTGCAGTACGTGTCAGCAGGCGTGCCAGTCCCACCCGGCGTGCTACTTCTTCAGCTTCTACCACGGCCTCGACGGTGAGCTGGTCAACGTGCAGGAGGGCGACGAGATCGAGCTCGCCGTCCCCGATTACGAGGAGGAAGAGGAGCTCGACAGACGCGCACTGGCATTTGCCGACTTCGACGACGTGTCCAAGCGTCGGTTCCGCGGGCTGCAGGGCAAGATGCCGACTGCCGACGAGGTCATGCTCAACCCCAAGGCCGGCGCCTGCTTCCTCCTGGGCGCCTACGTCAGGAAGGAGATGAAGGCCAAGTTCGTGTCGGGGCCACGCACATGCGGTGAGTGAGTCGGTGGGAGGGAGGGAGAGGGGTGTGGACGGATGCATTGTGTTGTGTGTGGGCTGCTTTATTGTGGTTGGTCGCAGCGAGTGAGTGCGTGAAGATGTATTCGGACAACTGCCTGGCGACCCGTTGCTGCTCGCGCGCCACGGCCACGTGTGTGTCGAAGGATACCTTCTTCGCCCAGTGCCGCCTGCCAACCGACGCCTGCCCCGGCAAGGGATGGAACTGCTACAACATCTGTGAGACTACACCCCACCCACACCGAGCACACCAGCAGATCATTTCCCTCACTGTGTACGTGTGTGTGGTGTGTGTGTGTGGTGTGTGTCAGCGTCGATGCCGTCAGGTTGTCTGGAGTATGACATGGAGTACGCCCCCCAGTCCTTCGCCAACGACATTGACGAGATCCTCGACGTTGAGACGGAGCTGCACTGCCAGGAGCTCTGCAAACAGCACGACAAATGCAACTACTGGAGCTACAAGTAAGTTGAGTACTCGACGCGGGCAGGCAGGCAGGCAGGGAGGGGCAGTCCACTCACTGTTGGTGTTGCTCTGTTGTGTTTTGTGTGGTGTTTTGGTTTGGTGTCTGTTAGCCCGTATTACAAGAAGATGTGTCTGCTCAAGAAGAAAAACAAGCCCAAGATGCACGTCAAGGGCGTTATCTCGGGCGTCAAGGACTGCGCAGGTGCGTGTCGGCACGGCTCGCCCCAGAAAAGCCACAGCACACCCACCGCATCACAGTGCACTGCTCACCCTCGTCTGTCTGTGGTGTGCTCGCCTTTCAGGTTTCGAGCAGCCCAACCTGATCGATTACATCGCCGAACAGCCCGTAAGTAACGCGACCGAGCCACCCTGCACACCTGCACGCCACTCCTTGTTTTGTCTGTTGTGTGTGGTGTTCTCGACTGTCAGGAGTACAAGGAGTTCTACAAGCGTGTTGAGCTGGCCGGCCTCGATTCGTTTCTCAACACCAACACGTCTGCCGCCAAGGGCAACTCGACGGGCTTCACGGTCTTCATCCCCGTCAACCAGGCCTGGGAGAACCTCGACCCCAAAGTCAAGGAAGAAATCGAAGCCGACAAGTTTAAACTCGGTACCATCATCAAGGGACACATTGTCGAGAGACCCGTCGGGGTCGAGAGATACCTCGGTATGTAGGCTGATGGCACCTCCTGGTCGCGTGGAGGTCTGCATTTGTGTGTGCTGTGTGTGGGATGTCAGGTGAGGAGACGGTGAAGGGTTTGAAGACTGCGTCGGGCGAGACCATTGCGGTGTCCCGCCGCGCGTCCAACGAGGGCAAGATGCAGATCAACGACGCCAACGTCCTCATCCCTGACATCAAGGCAAAGGTACCGACTGGCGCCCACACGCCCCAGTTTTCCGGTCCCCAGCCCACATTTTCTCTGCTGTTGTCTGTCTGCGTGTCTGTCGCGTCTCAGGACGGCATGATCACGACGATAGCCAAGGTGTTGCTGCCCGTCGAGATGATGGATGAGGCCATGCCCTCGATAGACGAAGACGACTCAGCGTCTCTCCTCGACATGGCCCCTGAGGAGGAGGAGGAAGAGGACGAAGAGAGCACCGAAGAGAAGGACACCCTGATCAGCTCCTCCCTGCCCGACACACCCACGACAGGCACCAAGAAAACCAACGCGACCACCGGAAGCAGCAAGCTCCCCTCCATCAGCTCGGGCAGCAACACCACCACCACCAAGACGGTCACCAACACAACCACTGCTGGATCAGGCAGCACCCCAAGCACCAAGACCACCAAGACCACCAATACCACCCTGTCGACGGGCAACAGCACCGCATCGACCCTCATCGGCAGCGCGGCTCCCAAGAAGCCCGCCAACGACACCCTGGCCACGTCCAAGAAGTCAACCGACGACTCCCTCTCCAGCTCGTCGCTGGAAGACGACGCATACGGCTCCAGCAGCACCGGCCTCCTCGATGAGCACGACATCGCCGCCACAGCAACCACCAGAGATACATCCAGCGTCAGCAGCACCAACAGGACCGCAGTAGTGGAGGTCAACACTCCCGGGCCATCAGCTGACGAGGAGGCCGGCGCTTCCCCCAGAATTGAGGACTTCTACGACACCACATCGACGAGCGACGACAGCTCCATGCAGGAGGGGACGGCCGACTCGTCCTTCCAGCCCGGCCAGCCCGCCGAGACGTCAGAGATCGAACACCACGCCACCGAGACCGAGGAGAGCGACGCTGCCGCAGGGTCGTCCCCCAAGCTGACGGCACCTACGGTTGAGGAGCTGCACGAGGCCGCCAGCAAGAGCAGCAGCCAGGGCGGGTCGGGTGGTGTGCTGGGTCTGCCTGTGTGGCTGGAGATCATGATGCTCGTGGTCATCGTCGGCCTGGCCGTTGTCGGAGGTGAGACAGGGAGGCACACCTACCTCACCACCAGAGGCACGGAGTGGAGTGAATGGAGTTGATTTCTATGTTGTGTGTCATGTATGTATGTCAGGTGTGGCGGCCTTTGTGCTGAAGCAGCGCAGGAAGGAGGAGGAGGGCCCGACGCCCACCAGACGCCCTGTCCGCATCGAATACACGCACGGAGGCAACCACAGCAGCAGCTAGACTAGACACAGATGGAGGGAGGAGGGAGGGAGGGAGGGGCTGACTGAGGGGGTTATGTGATGTGATGCGATGTGGTCGGTCTGTCTGTCTGTCTGTATTGCTTGTTTGTACTGTGACGTCACTGCACTGATGGTTGACGAATGACATGGTGGGTGGTGTGATGGCTAATGCGTGTTACCGCAAGCAATTTTCATCCGTTCATGTCATGTATGTCTGTCATGCGATGGGATGCGTGTCTCTTTATCTATTTATTCATGGGTGTGATACTTTCATCACATAGCAGCTCAGCTAGATGTCTCTGTGTCTGCAGATATGTAGCCTAGCCGCCACAGCCAGGTGGTTTCGTTGCCACAACTAGCTCGTCGCGAAATAGTCTCTTGTATGTATGCATGGATGTAACTATTATGTGCTGCCGCATATATATGATATGTATTTGTCGTTTGGATTGCAGTCGCTTGGATGGATGGATGGATACACAGATAGACAGCGACGGCTTGTCCACGACGGGCCGAATTTGTCTACTGCCTAATGTGAGTGGACAGATCCATGTGTCCTTCGAGTGAGTGCACAGAGATAGACACCGACCGGGGCGAGCGCGTGTTCATGCGCTCGCGTGTACAGCCTGGGACAGATGACGATCGCATACCTACGTACGTACAAACGCACCGTGTGTCTGCTGTGAACGTAGCCATGGATGGATGGATGGATGGGTGGATCGGCGGATGGGTTAAGACGGTTGGTCGGTCGGTCGGTGGTCTTTAGGGGACAGAGAGAGAGGGGACGTGGGGTGCACACATCCCGTCGACTACGTGTGTATGCGATGCGTGGCCCATGCTGATTTTACCGTCACTTTGATGCTAGCTAGTTGGGCTGCGCGGGTGGGGTGCACACACATCGCTTCTGTGACGTGACGATCATGTTGTTCATCTGTCTGTATGTATCCACCTATTTATTTATCAGTGCTGGACAAGTAAGTGTTCGATTCAAGCAAGCGTACGCACGTGATTCACTCGATGGAGCACGGCAGTGGATGGATGCATCCAAGCACTAAGCAATCGACTATTCACCACGGCCGCTGGCCACGGACTTCGGCAAGCCAACCAACTATGCACTACCAGCCTCCAATTCGAATCTATTCCTCTCCTACCCGTCCTCATCCTCCTCCACTAGCGGCCCGATCTGTCGCTGACGATGGATAGACACACGCCCATTGACGGAGACAGCGCCCCGCTTGAACTCTTCATCTCTCTTCTTTCACCTGTTGGTCGTGTGTTGCCGTCAACTCAATCTCAGAGTCCGCCTGCCTATCGATGTGGAACTCCCCGATCATCGAGTCACCAGGGAAGCGATCGAGAATGGACTGGCCGACAGGGCTATCCGCGGCCGCCGAGATGGTCACTTGAAGCTTACGCAGACCCCTGATGCGCCCGATGAGTGACGAGAGGCCAGCGTGGACGTGCTCACCCGGATCTTCAACACCATCAGGAACTGAACACACACGAGAGAATCAGTATCGTGTGAGAGAACATGTGGGCTCACCGTCAGCTGCAAAAATTAGCCGCCGTGTAGTCGGGAAATGAGGCGCCGCTTCGACGAGCTGCGTCAGACCCACGCTCCCAAGATCCACGAAACCCACCCTCCTCTCGCCGCTCCCCAGCTCCCTCACAATTCGATTGCCTCCTCGCCCCGCACCCTTCCTGTGTCAACACCACGTACCCGGCTTGGCATTTTGGCGACCAGCATCTGGCCCGCAGCGCCACCGAATCGGTTCAACACCTGTAGCGACCTGGCCTCCGGAAAAGGCCGCTGGTGCTCGATGATGCGGGGGTTGGGCGAGGGGGTGTCTGCAGGGGGGTCGAAGCCATCCCTAGCCTCAATGAATATCTTGGCTGCGCGTGTGAATGTGAGGCTAGAGGCGACGTCGATGGCCGCCGCACTGGGGTTGTCCACTGGATGGGTGAGGTCATGCTGACTGAGCCGATAACTCACTGCGTACGCCTCCTGCAGGCCAGATACCTCATCCCGCTCTTGAAGACGCGATCGGAGGGGTTGGGAGGGAAATCGTCGCTGTAGAAGACGGCCAGGCCGAACGCGTAATGCCTCGTGCGAGATCCCCCGAAGGTCACGGCAGCAGTCGGTTGGCAACACGTCGACACGAGCTGCTCGAGCGCGACGAGGAGGCGAAGAGTGCCACTGCTCACGTCACGCCTGAGCACTTCCAAGTTGATGTGAAGCTCGGCAAGGGTATTGCGACAACCGCGCGAAGAGAGCGCTGCCTAAAGACAAGAGAAGAGAAAGCAGCAGGCACAAGAAGTTTGGGCACAGGCGACTGCGGTGTTGTAGGCGCAGATCATGATTATCTTGCCAACCTGCAGCAGCGCGACCTCCTGCGGGTTAGCAGCGTGCACGGCGCCAATGCTCTCACGCCTCTGCCGCTGCCCATATGGTGCCGTCACACATCCGGCGGCCTCCTTGAGCAGCTCATCGCCCTCCTCCCGACCGCATGTGACACTGTGCAGCTGCGATGGGGCGGCGATGGACTCACCACCGGCTGCTCCACCGTCGTTGTTCTTCCGCTTCTTTGGCGCCATTCAACACCGTCGCATTACGAGCTTTGCATTGAAGGCCGCGGCCCTGAACACACACATTTGCACACACAGACGTCACACACAGACCTAAGTGTGCTCATGGAGCTCTTAAAATTGTAGCTCCCCTTGCTCGTGCAGTGCTTGTGCTTCGCATACGTGTGGAGGAAATCGAGCGACTCGTCATGATGGTGGCACCAGATGTCTCTGCAGTGTGGTTATTGCCCATCTTCCGCAGACTCGCTGATGGATGAAATCAGTTGCTCGGCTGTCACAGGGAGGGGCAGCCTCACAAGGTCTTGTCCTCTTCCTCTGGCAGATCGCTCTTGTCATTTGAGCTCGCCAAGGTTTCGAGGCGGTGGAGTGATGGGGAATGATGTGACGGTGCCCAGCAGCCGGCAGCCCATCCCGCCGGCAAGAGGCGACGAGTCGATAGATTTCATCCATCGCGAGGACCGAGATGCCATTCACGAACACAGGGATGTCGGCATCCTCAGATGCACAGCAACATTCCTCAGGCAGATAGACTTCTCGGTCGCCGTCCTCCGCACTCGGCTGGGGCGCTCACTCGTGGCCAAACAGCTCGGCGGCATTATCGCATTCGACGCTCAGCTGGAGAGCCCTCTGCTGCTGAAGGCCATCTGGCTGGTGGATACGCAGCAGTGGACCGAGGTGGTCAACGCGCTGAAGTTAGCGGAGCAGCGCGGCTTCTGCACACTGCCCATCACAATGAGTTTGCAGGACCTGCAGAGACACACCACCAAACAGGTGGGCGGGACGAAGGGGAGAGTCGAGGAGGGATGGCTCGATAGCTGTGTTGTGTGTCTGTTGTTGCAGGCGTATTTGGCTGAGCCGCGTGTTGTGGCGCTGTGGAAGATGATCGGTCGGCACGTCAACTTCGGCGGCAACTACGGCCGTTTTGAGCTGTTCGACCAGCAGGGCGGCGGTGTGCGTGCTATCAAGGACGAGCCGGGCTTCGAGCTGGACATCAACCCCCCCCACCCACCCATACCACCCACACACTATCAACGACAACCCGCCCGTCAGGTCCCCAATCGACCTGCAGGGGGACAGCTGGACAGCGGCTGGTGAGGTGGTCACTTATGCATCAGCGTCGGCGTTCATCATGAACATCATCCTGTGGGGCCCTCTAATGGTGAATCGGGGCGCACCTCCTGTAGTTGAGGTTGACCGGTACATGACACACCGACAGACACACACGTCCATCCATCCGAATGGGTATCCGCTCTCTGTGTGTTTCTTTACGTATGCTCACGGAGGTGTGCTGGACGGCCTCCTGAACCACTCGCCCCACCAGCCGCCCGACGGATGCACAGCCGTCATGGCGGGCAGCTGGGACGATGACAATCCCCCTTCAGAGTTTCGGCTTTTGCTGCTGACGTCGTTCGACAGCCCATTCGTCGCACGGGTCGCTCTCGGCAGCCGTGTCGACACCAACACAGGCAACAAAGGGATAGCAGGTCCTCTGTGCTGATTGAGCCATTCTTTCGACGTATGCTTTTTCGCTGCCTGCAGCGGATGTGAATGTCGTCACCACCGAGCCGCCAGTGGGTGGTGCATCTGATGCCTTCAAGGACCGCCGGCCCACTACCGCCCCTCTGGTGCGCGGCCTGCTGAGCAACACCATCGCAGAGATGGCGCTCACCCAACAGGAAGAAGACGATGGGGGTGAGTGCGCAGCCGGCCATCCCGTCTCTGTGTGTCGGATAAATCGGTGTGTGTGTGTGTGCCTTTGTGCAGAGGACGATGCGGCCGGTGATGGTGACGACGACAGCGATAGCGATGAGGGTGAGAGGTGGGGATGTGTGTGGCTGGATGGGTTCACCTGTATGTCTGCGGTCTGTGTGTGATATCTACGCAGATATGGATAGCAATGGCAATGGCGAGGACGATGGCCAGCAAGAGCAGCAGCAGGAGCAGGAGGAAGACGGTGAGATGGGCGAAGGGAAAGAGCCAGATCAGCATGACACTCGCATTTTGGTGTGCCTTATGGATGGATGGACATGAATGTGTCAGATGAGGGTGTGGAGGAGAGGGAGGCCAAGAGAAGGAGGACCGCAGAGTGATCGAGGGCGACACACCTGCGGCCGGTGTGCGGTGTAGATGGTGCACTGATTGAGGATGGCCAGGAGGACAAGAGCAGTCGTATGCACAGACAGCTAGCGGCCTTCTCTGACGCATCCATGCAGTTTTGACACACGTCGTACGTTGGCATTGATGTGTCCATGTGTGTGTGACGAACCCTTTTTGTGTGCGCATACGAACGGTTGGATTGGTGCATGGTGGAACGGCTTTCCGTTTTGGTTTTCACGTCCACATTTGATCGGTGTGAATGACTGGACGGGATGAGACAGCCATTGACCTGATCCATGGGTGCACAGCATCAATCACGTGTGTGTATTGCCTGTCGACAATCAAGTGTCCGTCTCCCCTGACTAAACCACACACACTCACACTCACCCACGTTGACTCACCCACCAGAGGACACCGACATGAACGCATACACAGACCAGCAGTCAATCTCTGCCTTGCTTGGGGCACACCGACCGACCGACCGACCGACCGATGGACACAAAACCACACCAGCGCAACGATGACCTGTCTGACCATGGCCATGGCTCGCACCCAGTCAAGCCACCAAAACACTCTTACATGCAGTCGTGTCTGTCTTGCCTGAGCATGTGCCTCCGTCGTGAGACGCACGTCAATGCTCATCGTGCTGGGCGGCTGTTCGTGTGTCTGTCGCAGAGGCGTGACCTCACCCATGGCCTGGTGTCTCGAGCTAAGACGCCATGGATCAGGTGGCGATCGGCTCGTTGACACACGAAGAATGAACGACACGCGCAGACAGACAGACAGACAGACAGACAGAATGGATGGATGGATGGATTGAATGGAATGAGTGAGTGCCAGGAAGTTTCTGATTGTCGAAGTGACGAGGCCTCAGTCGATAAAGGTTGACACGCACACACATGATCGTGTCTGCACATGGGAGTCATCCATCCGTCATGCTGTCGGGTCTGAGTCAGTCGCTAGGAAGCTAGCTACACACTGCGGCCATCAATCAAGCTGCAGCAATGCTCCTCCGCCCTCCGTATACACATACTACCTGCAACACACACACACAAACACACACAACACAGAGAGAGAGAGAGAAGCGTCGGCTTGCCTCCTGTCTGTGATGATGTGTGCTGCAGTGTTGTGTCACCGGCCTCTGCCGCTGTCTATGTGTGCTGTCAGATCGTATCAGCCGCTCCCCACCTGCACACAGAACACATACAGCAGTGCTATCCACAGCCAGCCAACCGTATGTGCCCTCCGTTCCCCTCACCCGCCTGCCACACTTCCATCTCGCTCGCTGTGAAGTTGTTCGACTGCGCCAAAGTGCCGTTGCCCTTGCGATTGATCGTCCCCGAGTATCCCTCCGACAGCTCATCCCTGTTGATCCACAGCTGGCAGCTGCTGAGGTCGGCCGCCGGACCAGCCTCGGCCCACCCGAGCCACATACGGCCGCAGGCGATGCACACATTTGCACTCCAGTCCATATTGTTGGCCTTCGCCGCCCCCTGTGTGCCGGCCACCTCCACCGTCTGCCTCTCCTCAGGTATCTCGATCATGGTTGGCGCGTCATACGCGCCGGACAGCGAAAAGAAGAAGACGGGCACCTTGTATTGGTTGGCCTTTGTGGGGTCGTCTGGGGGGATGATCTCGCCGTCGATGAAGCACCCGAATCGGTGTGTGTCGCCATCTCGGAGGGCGAAGAGGAGGCCACTCTTGCCCTCGACGCACTCGAGCATCTTGGGAAACGCATACGTGTCGCGACTGCCCCTAAAAGGATGACACACCACAGACGACAGATGCATGCCTTTTGTGGTCTGCCCTGCCTGTCTTGTGTCAGCATTTGGTCTCACTTGTACAGCAGAGATGGCGCCGTTGCGATCTTCTTGTCCGTCATCTTCATCACCGCCAGCCACTCGTCGGCCGTCTTGATCACAGCGGATGCCCCCGCCGCCCCACCGACAGGCGGCACTGTGTTGAGGCCATACATGCCCAACTCGACGCTAAAGATGGCCCTCTCGTTGACCGCCACGACCGGCGGATGCACGAATCGCACAGCCGGCATGACCATGAGGGTCAGGCGGCGGGCAAAGTCGACGATGAGTTGCAGAAACTTGGGAGACTGACGCACCTCCTGGTCGGGCCCAACTATCTGTGTCCTGCAGGACAGACACAGACACATGCAGGCAGATAGGACGCCATGCATAGACGGTCAGTGCAGTGCATGCTTCCATACCGATCGAAACGCTTGACGAGGGCATGGCTTGGACCAAGGGGCGCCACAGTGCGGCGGAGGACCGACACGTCCTCTTCCTCGACTGTGAGTGTCATCACCTCGATGTCCTCACTGCTGCTCTCCCCCTTGACGAATGGCCGTGTGGCCGCCAGGAAGGCCTCCATGGCCTTCTTCTGCTCCCGCAGCTCCTGCCGCACGCGACGATAATTGTTTATGTACTGTTCGATCTTCTCCAACGCCTCGTCTATGCCCTTCCCCCCCTCCCTCTCCCCCTCTCGACCGCTCCCGTCGGCCATCTCCACATCTCGCTGCTCGCCTCCCCCTCCAACCGCCGTTGCTGCAGCTGCCCGCGGCGGCTCCTCGAAGGCGATGCCACCGCCCAGCTTCTGCATGAACAGCGAATGATACTCAGCGTATGAGGGATTGTCGGCCTTGAGTGGGGGAAGGGCGATCTCATCTGCTGGAGGGCTCTCAGGCAGCCTCAACTGGTCGCGGATCTCGAGCTGCGCCAGCTCGTCGCGCAGCCAGCGGAAGTAGGGCGGATGCGCCTCGAGGAAGGGCAGCTGATTGGCGTCCTTGGGCAGCTGGTCGGCGAAGTGCAGCAGCAGGGTGGAGAGGTAGGTCTGCTTCATCTTGGGCTGGAGCAGCCGATGAACTGAGATGGAGAAGACCGTGCCGCCCACATTGAGCTTGAGCTTGCCGCTCGTCTGCTGCGGTTGCATTGTGCCGCCATTCGCTGTGATCATCTGCTTGATCTCCGCCGCCAGCTGCTCGATTTCGCCCTCGGCCGTAGCTGCTGCCGTCTTCAACACGCCTCGAAGGCCATCCATGCATCCTGCCGCCTGCACAACCACCGCATCGACCTCCTCACGACTGCTCGTCACGCCATGCAGCCGGGATGGGACAACTGACTCATCATCGGCCGCTTCGCCGACGTTGTTTTTTCGCTTCTTCGAACCAGCTGGCGCTGCTGCTGCGGCCGACATCGTCAATGGCTAAGGAAATACGCTATGCTCCAATGATGACTGCGATGCAGCTTCTGCCCTTCCACCGGCGCTGTGTGAGGGGGGTGTGCAGGGTTTGAAGCCTTGTGCTCAGTAGGGTCAAATGTCCAGGGTTTAAACCCGCCAATGTGCCTCTCTCGAGTTGATCCTTCCGTCTGCAGCATGAGTCTGCAGCATGAGTATTTCTCCTGAATGACTCGTCATGCTGCATCCTCTCCTCTCACGAGCAAGACGACTGACGGCAGCGATGACTGACGCTGGAGTTATCTGCAGCCATTCCAGGCTGTCCCGCATCGCATGTGCCCGCCTGATACTCTTCGCTGTGTTACTGCTGCTGGCTGTCACTCGTTCATTGGCTTCCACAGCGTTCGGCAACTTCTACGACTTGGTACTTACTGAGGCAGTATGACCACTCAACACTCAACACTGCTTGCACATCTGCTGTGATTGATGTGTATGCTGTTGTTTGTTCAGCTCGGTGTGAAGCATGATGCCACAGAGGCCGAGATCAAGAAGGCGTACAAGGTGCTCGCCAAGAAATGGCACCCAGACAAGAACGCGGGAGACGAAGATGCCCACGACAGATTCATCGAGCTGCAGAAAGGTACTCCCTCAACACAATACGCAACGAAGCCAGAGCACTGACGCCATTGCCACGTTCTGCTGCTGCCGATTGTATTGATGCAGCATACGAGACGTTATCTGATCCGGCTGAGCGAAAGGCGTACGACGACAAGTTATCGTTCGCTGCGGAGGGCATAGAGGGTCTCAGCGAGCGGGAGATGGAGATGCTGCAGCAAGTGGGCGGCAAGCTGGTCACGCACCACGTGCTGGACGAGATCGTGGCGTCGAGTAGTGATGAGCTTTGGCTGATCCACGTCTACTCGGACAACACGCACCTGTTCGCCTCATGGATGACGCAGCTCGAGGGCATTGCTCGGCTGGCGCATCTCAATGTGGATCTGGATTATGTCGATCAGCACCTACTCAGGAGGCTATACATATACAGGTAGGTAGCTCAGACGGAAAGAGAGGACACAAATCGGCACATGAATTCACCTACTTGCATCTCCCTCCCTCTCTGTGTGTGTGCTTCAGTGTGCCGATGATCATCCTGATCCACCAGGGGCAGTTGTCGCGGTATCAGCCGCAGGGATTTGACTACTTTGACATCCGAAGCAACGTCATGAGCCACATCACCAGACACATCCCTTACAAGTACACACGACACACAACACACACCGCCGGTGACTGACACACATGCATAGCTCCTGCCTCCTTTACCTTTTCCTCTCTCTCTTTCAGCTCGTTTGTGTCGTCGCTTTACCATTTCGACAAGCTGAGCGAGTTCATGGCTTTCCATCCCGATGGCAGTGCGCACATCCGCATGCTGCTCGTGGTGCCTGAGCCGCAACGGTCCCTTGGCACCTACCTAGCGGGACTTCAGTACCAGGGTTCTCTCCACGTGGCTCAGACGTCACCGTGGGTCGTTCAAAGGTGAGAGGGATGGATGGATGGATCACTCAGTCAGGCACGGACCGACGCGTCATTGTGTTGCCATTCGTTGCACTGTCAGGCTGGTGCCAGTTCGGGGATATCCTTGCCTCATCTTCTGGGACCCAATCACGCGTGAGAGACGAGTCGTCTACAGCTACCCCAGGGCCCCCCAGCAGCTGCTCTCACAGATCCAGGACAACATCTACCCGGGATACCACCTGCCTGAGTACGACCAGCTGTCCTTCAACTCCCTCTGCACGGGCGAGCATAAGTGCGACACACTCGTGCTGCTGGTGCTGCCCCCACAATCGGCCCACGCGATGCAGCGGGAGGGCGTCTCCATCCTGGCTCGCGTCTTATCCTCCCTATCGCGTGTCTGCAACACGCTGAGGGAGTCCGATGAGGCGTTTGCCAGCATGAGGTGCTTCTGGATCAGGCTGCCCACTGCTCGCCATGCGACCGCTGCAGCACGGAGGGGAGACCACGGACCAGAGCAGCTCCGGCACTACTTTTCTGCTGCCAACATGCAACAGACTGACGGCAAGGGCGGTCCATTGGAGAAGGGCTCGCCGTCGATTGTGGTGGTTGACGAGCACGGCGTGGATGGGATGGTGATGCGGGAGTATCAATGGGAGCTTCAATGGCACCCTGACAAGACGCCCCCCAAGAAGCTGGAGACGGTCAGCCTGCCTGAGTACCGATTCTCTACTTGGTTGCGGAAGCTCGTGAGGGAGAGGGATGGGCCCGACACAGCGGAGGGTGTGCTACTCAAGTCGACTTCATGGCCGCCGGCACTCGCGGCACACTTCTCTATCACAGGGGCACCTGATGCAGGCGAATCCTGGTACAAAGGAAGGAGAGAGAAAAAGAGAGCGGACGTGCCTCTCTCGTCTTTCTTTGTCAGGTGTTGTCTTGCTGTTGTGTAGGTTTGGCGACATGACCATCTTGTCGTCACTTCGTTGGCTGTTGAGTTGGTTCGACCTCACCCAGTTCCCTTTTGGCGGGGCGCTTGTCCTGATGCTGCTAATGTGGTTCATGTCGACAGTTACAACTGCCGACGACCGCACGGCCAACCAACCACAGAGCAACACCGCTGCCACCACCCAGGGCAGCCAACAGCACCAGCCGCCCACCACTGACATGAAGCGGGAGTCGTCTTCCAGAGTGAGCCCCATCACTCGCGAGAGGCGGCCAGGGGACTCGCCCACCACTCGGTGCACCCCGCCGTCATCCGAGGCGCACGCGACGGACGCCAGCAGCAGCCCGAAAGAGGTGGGCGGGAGGACCGATGAGGCATATCCTCATCCAGGGAGTGGGGAGGGCCAGAATGGCGGCAGGAGTGGAGGCAGTCGATTCGATCGACTGATGCAGTTCCAGCAATTAGTGACGCCCTTGACGTACCACAAGCGACACGATGTCCTGCAGGTGGGCCACGAGCTGGCCAGCCAGCCAGCCAGCCAGCCAGCCAGAGGAGCAGAGAGGATGCGTCACCCCACCCCACTGCACGTGTAACGCGTATGTGCAGGGGAGGAGGTTTCATATCTTGTTAGTTGACCGTCACCCGCGTGGCAACCCACGTGCCGACATGTTCTTCTTGGAAGTGCAGCAAACACTGCTTGCGAGATTCAGGTGACCTCAAGGCCCACACACCACACAGGGCCCATCCCATCCACACGCGATATGCCTCCTGTGGGGCCTGGCCTCTTGCACCAGGTCTGATTCGCAGTTCGAGTGGTGGTTCTGCGGGTCAGCTCGCGGCGACCCGGACGTCAACCGCCTCCTGCCCGACTCGTTCCCCCTTGAGGCCGTCTGCCTCACCATCCCATCACGAAGGCGACTCTTTTTTGTCGCCAGACAACAAGACACGCCATCGGACCATGGCGACGCCACACACCCTTTTATCAACTCGGCTGGCGTGGCCGTCGGCGAGTGGATCAGCGGCTCTGTCAGCCACTTCTGCGACCGCATTGGGATGAAGTTGGAGAGGATTCTCGGTGGAGGGTTTGGTGGATTGCCGTCGATCGACCGGCTGCTGGATGAGACCAAGGGAGGGTCTCGGGAGGGGGGAGGTGGCGAGAGCGAGAGTCCGCGGCGGCCGAGGCCGCTCGCCTTTGAGGATCTGATGACGGTTCTCGCGTGACGATGATGAGATTTTGGCGATCCCCCTCTCTATGTATGTTGTGTGTGGACGAGAGGCGTGTGGCGAGGTTTGTGTGTCAGTGACGGTCAGGAAGGATAGCCCACACACAGTCAGTGTATGTATTTGTTTGTTTTGACGGTTTTGGTTGAGACTGACGAAACAGACAGACTGTTTTTGACCGTAAGGGTGTCCGTTCCGGTGGCGACCGTGTTGACAGCATGGATACATCCGTCAGCCTCTGTGGTCCCAATTCACAGGAATGGGCGGGGCGGCAGCCAGCCAGCAAAAAAAAGCCCGTTCATTACCATGCACTCAGCAAGCATGTCTATATCCATGGCCCCCAAAGAGACATTACACATCACACGCACCATGGCATGGCAGCCAATCGTAGACAACAGAGACAGTCTCTCAAGTCGGTCAGAGACGAGTCAATGTGAGCTGTTCAGCAACCATTCTTGGGAGCCCAGAGTGGCAGCGGGAATGGCACGAAAGCAAGACGACCAGCAGCAATAACACTGTTCTTCAACCAACCCTGCCCACCTCCCCAATGCAGCAATCCCTACTGCGTTTTCAGCAAGCCTATCCCTCGTCGCTCCTTCACCCCTCTCTCCTTATGCACACCATCCCCTGACCGCACACCATCCCCTGACCGCCGTCCTCATTGGTGACGCGGAAGCCGACACGTCAACCGCAGCGGCCCCGCGGCCTTGTCGGTTCCCTCACCATCGCCCTCGCCACACTGATTGGCGATCTGCTGGTTGAGCACATCAATGGTGCGGGGGCCGAGCGTGCGGTGCTTGCTCTCCAGCTCGTCGACCAGGGCCTTGATGAGCCAGTCGATATCAAATCGCCGCGAGAAGTGCAGAAGGTTAAGGCACTGGAACGTCGAGCGACGCCGCAGGAGGGCACGGGGGTGGCTCATGAACAGCTGCTTGTCAGAAAGAATCTGGGCAAGGACGCAACACAGACAGACAACGCAGACAGACAGACAATGCTGTGTGGTGCGATTGCTGGCCATGCATGCACACCCACCCACCCCACCTCTACGAGTGTGTTGAGAGTAGCGTTGTCGAAATCGTTTATGTTGACCTCCTGCCACACCACACGCACGAGCACTGCATCTATCCGTCCATCACATCATATCGGCTCTCCTTCCTTTCTGCAGAAAACTCACCTGGCTGTCGCTGAACTGGTCGGCATAGTCCTTCATCTTTGAACTAGCCTCCTGGAGCATGCGCCTGTCCACAGCGAAGCGATAGTATTTTGTGTCGCCAGGGCTCTCCTGCCGTTCGTCGAACAGGTGCTCCATCGGCGCATTAACGGCCGAAGGCGGGTCGGCCTCTTTGATTGTCACCAGCAGCACGTCAACGCCCTCTCGTACCACTTCACCGCGCCCTCGAGCAGCCATGGTCGGGTGTTCACATCATCAGCATAAGGTTTCTGGTTCTTTCGGTACCCAGGCCGCCGCCCCACTGTTGCTGTGAATGGCGTCCTCTGCCTCTCTAGCCTTCCCCGCCTCCCCCTTCTTCCTTGAGCTCGGCTGCGAGCTTAGCTCGCATCCTCGTTGAGAAAAGCAAAAGAGGGAAAGAGGCAAGGAAGGAGGGAGTGTCGGCCGCCCGGCCCTTCTCAAAGGCGGCCAGACCAAGATCTGCTGCTAAAGTGGAGGCGTTAGGTCCCGATTGTGTCCGCTGAGTGAGGGCATCTCGGCGGCACAGCCCCACCAGTGAGCACCGACCTCACCTCTGTCAGCTGAGGAGACAGTCAGCTCCAGAAGCGAAGCACCGCGAGTCGGCGACTGATCGCAGACCTGAGTGGCGGCGAGGCTAGAGGGAGTTTGGTGGTCGTATCGCAGCCTCGAGGGGGGCGGGGTGGTGTGTTTGATTAAAAATAGGCGGGGAGGGCAGTGGGGTAGCGTCAGTTTGAGCAGGGAAAAGGGGCGGTCAGGGGTAGCCAGCAGGCGCTCGTTATCGTCTGTTGCTTGTCTGTCTGTCTGTCTGTGTGGGTGCCTGTCGCCCCGTCTGGTGTGCTGCCTCTCCCTGCTCGCACACGTGTCACGAGAAAGTTTTTGTGCCTTTCTCATACCTTCCTGTCCGGCCGTGTGCCTGTGAGCGTGTCTGCTGGGGTTTTTCTGACTAGCCAGCTCTTGTGACTACATCTCTCTCTCTCTCTGTGTCTGTCTGTCTGTCTGTGTGACTGTCTGCGTGACTGTCTGTCTGTCTGTCTGTCTGCATCTTTTGCTTGCTTCGTGCCGTGTTCTGTGGTGTTGGTGGTGCTGTTGTTTGGAGCGTCTTGATGGCATTGCTATTGCGAGAGCCGACAGCAGTCAAGCCGTCTGTGTGTCGTGGCACTGATGATGCGTGTGGTGGTGGTGGTGATGATGGTATGTCGATGTGTGGGCGGTTTTCCTACCGGTGGCCTACCTGCCGTGCGGTGTCCTTTATGACTTCATGCCTGGTGAGCGACACACACACACACACCACACACACCACACACGCACCACACACACACACATTATACATCTCTCCCTTCTGTGTCTGTGTGTGTTGCAGGTGATATGTTTCGTGCTTTTATTTATCTCTTCCCCGGTGCAGCACTCCCACTCACTCGTCCTCCGCCGGCTACAAGTGGAAGAGCCCCTCCCTCAACCCAACAACACCAACGCCACTGGGGCCGCCGACGGTGACGCGCCAATGGACCCCTGCGTGACCGATCTGCACGACTGTGCGGTTGAGGCGTTGTGCGTGCGGCAGAATGAGACGTACTGGCGCGACAGCGACATCCTGGGCGACACGGGGGATGACGTTCGGCGGATTGAGATGTACCGGCATGGCTGCGAGTGCCGGAGGGGGTACGAGGGAGATGGCAGGACCTGCAATGGTGGGTGCTTGCTGGAGGGAGGGGCGGGGCGGATTGGAATGACGGATTGGATGATGCTTGGTTTATGCGTGCCTTTCTTCACTGGCAGATGTGGATGAGTGCCTGAGTGACCGGGGCGGCTGCGACCACTTCTGCTCCAACCTCGAGGGCAGCTACGAGTGCGACTGCAGGCCAGGGTACCTCCTCTACATGGGAGACGAAAAGACCTGCAAACGTACGCAACCACGCACACAATCGCCACCCATAATCTCATCTGTCTGGTCGTTCTGCCGTATCAGCCCGCCGTCCGCGAGTCGAGACGGGATTCGCCCGCGCCAGCAGCAACTGGACCACCGTGGCACTCACGTCGGCTTTCCGCTACGCGCCCATCATCCTTGCAGGCGCGCCCTACTTCCCGTCAGGCGGCGAGTCGGCGCCCGAGCACCTGCCGCACTATCCCCCCGTGTCGGTTCGCGTCAATAACGTTCGGCGGGCTGGGACGGGCCAGGGGGAGAAGTGCGATGGGACCTACTGCTTCGACGCGCTCCTCGTGGCATCTGACTGCGAGGTGGGTGACACAGCATCTTTTGACTCGTGTGTGTCTGTAACCTGTGTGTTTTCCAGAATGCGACATTGCCATCCGTGGGGTTCGACTGGGTTGCGATTGAGCGGGGAGTGTTCGTGACGGGCTCGGGCCAGCTGCTGCAGGCGGGAGTCGAACGATACAACGGCCGAACCGAAGAGCCCTTCCAGGTACAGAGCACACCGACACAAGCGACGCATAGCCACTCCCAAACCTCCATCCACGTGTCTTGTCCTCCGCTCTCACCAGTGGCTTGACTTCCCCGTGTCGTTTGCCGAGGGGGAGGGCAGCAGCAGTGAAGCACCCATAGTGCTGGCTCACAGCCAGTCTGTGGCCAACAAACGGTTCCTGGAGCCACAGGTGCAGGAGAAAGAGCAGAACGGCTTCAAGGTAGCATTCGCATCCGAGACGGGCGTCGGCAGCGAGCGATTCTATCCTGAAGTGGTCAGTCACATGAGACACACAAACACACACACACACACACACACATGCACATACACAAACACAAACACAAACACAAACACTCACACACACAATCAGTCAATCATGTGATTGATTGACTGGCGCTGGTTCACTGATTGATTGATTGACCGTGTATGTTTGTTTTGTTTGTCTTCAGATTGCCTGGGTCGCCATCGATCGCAACGCCGAAGCCCTTCGCGAGCAGCGCATTCTGGTCGGCACCTCCGGGACCACACAGGCGGGCCCGGCACACCTCCCCAACTTCCTCTCATCACTCGAGCTCACCTACCACGGCACACACGACTTCGCCCACGCCCCACACGTCTTCACGACCGTCAACGCACTCGAGAGCCGGCAAAGGACAGTCGGCATGCGCGCAATCGCCGCGAGCAGGAACGGCACGCACATCGTGCTGCTCGACGGGCTATGCAACGACACGGCAGCTGAGGGGCGCAGGAGGCGTCTGCAAGAAGGCGGGAGCAACGACACTTCAACGCCCGATGTGGACTTCCTGGTCATCGAGGCACCGTCGCCCATCGACGACTGTCTGCGGGGGACGCACACGTGCGGCGAGCACGGTAAGTGCGTGGCGGCCGAGAACGGCACCCATGTGTGTGAGTGCGAGGAAGGGTATAGCTTCAACAACGGGACGGCGTGTGGGGACCTTGACGAGTGCGCGGCTGACGAGGACCCATGTGGCGTCGGCGGCGTGTGCAACAACACGATCGGCTCATACACGTGTGAATGCAAGACTGGCTTCACCAAGAACAACGACACAGGCAACTGCACCGGTGAGACCGTTCCCCCACATCTCATACGCAGGAGACGCTCACGTGTGTGTTGGTGTGGGTGCCCTTGTCAGACATCAATGAGTGCGAGCAGGAGGGCGGCTCTTCTCTCTGCCACCGCTACGCCAACTGCGTCAACACCGATGGCACATACGAGTGCAAGTGCCGCGAGGGCTTCGAAGGCGACGGCAGGCGGGACTGCTCAGCCACACGCGATTGCAAGGGCGAGTGGTCTGACTGGACCGAGTGCGACGTCGACTGCCGCCGTGAACGGCGGTACAGGGTCACACAGGAGCCCACGGCCGAGGGGGAGGCGTGCCCGCGGGAGGATGGCGACAAGGAGGCGGAATCGTGTGAAGGAGGCAGCTGCAAGCCTGGTGGTACGTCTGATGTGTGCCAACTGCTGGCTGGCTCCTTGCAGAATGCTTGTGTGATGTATTTGTGTTGTATGGTATGTGTCAGGAGGCTCAGCGGGCTGTCCTGGCCGGTGGGGTGGGTGGAAGCCATGCACGCTGGATGGCGACGGCCAGTGCTCGCGGTCCCGTGACTTCATCATAGAAGTGCCCTGGGACCGCGACGGCCGTCCGTGCGCGGGCAAGCAGCAGACAGAGCCATGCGACGCCGAGGAGTGCAGTGACAGCCCGGGCGACCCGGAGGTGTGCAAGGGCAGCTGGAGCGCCTGGTCAACGTGCAGTGAGGAATGTCAGCACACGCGGACCTTCACACTCGACAACAACGACACATCGGTCGACACGTCTCACTGCCCGCACCAAGATGGCGACACCGACCCCAGGAGTTGCGATGGAGGCGCATGCAAAAGTGAGGTGTTAGCCCAACCTTTCCTCCCCCTCTCTCCGCCCCACACACCCCTTGTGTTTGTGTTGTGTTCCTCTCAGGTGTGGACTGTGTGGGCGACTGGGGTGAGTGGTCCGATTGCAACTCTGCCTGCGACCGCCTTCGCACCTACCGGGTCCTGCAGCCCCCGCAAGAGGGAGGCGAGCCCTGTGAGTTCGATGACCTGGAGCAGGACGAGGGCCAGTGCCCACCGGAGCTGTGCACGCCGTCGACCGAGCCGTCTGACGTCGACTGTGAGGGCTACTGGGCGCCCTGGACGGTGTGTGACTCCAACTGCACGCGGAGTAGGCAGTATGTGGTGGTACAGGAGGCGCAGGGCGAGGGCGACCCATGTGAGGCCAAAGACGGCCAGACAGAGGTATATTGAGAGAGAGAGAGAGAGAGAGGGAGAGAGAGGGAGAGAGAGAGATGATCGACCTGTCTCATGTTTTTTGTTGCCTGCAGGACGACAAGTGCGAGCCGTGTGTGGATGTGGATGAGGGCAGCGCTCCCGTGGTCATCGACTACGACGGCCTTCTGCCCAAGTACTCCAAGGGCAGCCAGATGATCATCACGCCATCCCTCTTCGCTAACACCAACTACTCCGGCACGGCCGACCCAAAAGAGATCCTCAAGCAGCTCGGTGGCGACACAGACGACTACGTCTGGACGGTGCTTCCCGCCCTGCCGGCCGGGCTCTCCCTCAACGAGACCACCGGCAGGATCACTGGCACCATCGAGACCACCCAGCCGCCGACCTTCCACACCGTGCTGGTGCGCAAGAAGGGCGAAGAGGGGCCGGGCATGGCGGCGGGTCGGTTCATCCTCACCACGACCGACGCGGCACCGACCAACCTCAGCTACCCCGGCCCCGACGTGACGACTCTGTGTGTCGGAATGCCCATGCCCGAGCGCATGCCGACGTGGGAGGGCGGCCCGCCGTCGCGCTTCGAGAGCGACCCGCTGCCCTTGTCGCTGACGGTGAACAAGACCACTGGCGTGCTAGGGGGGATACCCAGGGAGCAATCGATCAAGAAGGCCTACCGGATTCAGGTGCGTCTGCGTATACCTGACAGGGAGGAGAAAGAGAGGATGCCCGATCACTGGTGGTGTTGTGTTGTGTTGTCAGGCGGTCAATGCGGGGGGCCGTGCGTCGGACAATGTAACTCTGGAAGTGAAGCCAGCCATGCAGCTGCTGGACCCTCTTCGCAGAGACGAGTCCCCCGTTCTCAAGATTGACCTCACGTCGGCGTCGACCACCTACTACACACCCTACAAGGTTCTGACGGTCGTGGCGCCCTCACAAGTGCCCGTCAACGACATCCTCTGCCAGGCGGTGCCCATCCTCTCGTCCAAGGCCAACCCCATCATCCCGCCGCCAGAGTGCACCGAGGAGGAGGGAGACAGCGACAACAGGCAGGAGAGAGGCGAGGTCATGTGCTCCGTCGGCCGAGAGGCCACGCCCGGCGAGAAGCAGACGCTGTACCTCAACCTGCTGGGCAAGGACCCGCCTTGCTACCTGACAGGGAGGAGCTCAAATGAGAGCGAGGAGCTCAAGGTGGTGGGGCTCGTGACGCTGATCCCCAACGAGCGGGCCAGGCGGGACGTGCCCATGATACGCGAGTATCTCAACAAGACGACCGAAGACGGCGATGAGGCGCCCAACGTGCTCATGGTGGGGCTGTCTTCGCCCAAGGAGCGCGCCTTCAAATTCCTGCTGAAAGAGCCCACCGACGCCGAAAAGACCACCCCGTACAAGACCACCATCCAGCTAAGCTTGGGCAGCCTCAGCATCACCGCTATGCGCAACAACGATGAGTTCAAAGACAAGCTGGAGACCGACGTCGAGAAGCTTCTCGACGTGCCGCCCGCGCGCATCCGGGTGACGTCGGCCCGCGATCAGGACTGCTCCGGCTCTGACCTCAGCCGATGTAAATCCGAGGCTGATGTCATCTTCATGCCGGAGCAGGGTAGGCCTTCTGCCCAGGCCAAGTACATCGAGACGCCCTACGTGCTGTTTGAGGACTTCCGGCGGCGCGTCATGGACCCCAGGAACCACCTCTATCAGTTCCCCAATTCATACTGGTTCCTCACATCTATCAGCCGCAGCGAGCCCCTGCTGCCTCAGCGACTCGTGCTCTGTGAGGGCGGGAGCGTCGTAGACGACATCGAGAACTGCCCACCCCACGATAATGACAGTGGTGATGAGGTGGACAGCAGGAGTGAGGGCGGCAATGGCGATGACAACCCTTGGTATAAGGAGGAATGGATATGGGGGATTGTGGGTACGGTCGTCTCGCTGGTGGGCCTCGCGGTCTCCATCCAGATCTGCCACTGCAAACAGATGCGCGAGCAAACCAAGAAGAGCGTGCGGCGCTTCATGACCTCGGCGCTTGGCCGCCCCACCTCGCCTGATGACGATGAGGAGCAGGGCAGTAATGGGGACGGCCGCAAGAGGACCAAGATCAGCCGCAGCGACACATCTGAGACACGCGAGGACGACAAGTCATCCCAAGGCAAGAGGCGAGACGGCGACAGCACACCGCCAGGCAGGGCGGTCTCATCTCTGCCGACGTCTGGAGATGACCGTGGGGTCTCGGTGGCCCCTCGCCGGTCCACGACCACGGCCACTCGAGTGCCCAGCAGCCAGGTGTCGCGCATCACAGCTGGTGACGAAGACGCCGACACCATGTACGCAGACGACGAGACACCCACTCCTGCGGGCGCCGGTGGTGGCGGTGGCGGGATGCACTACGGCCACCCCCATGCGCCGCCGTATCTGGGCTTCCACACCCACGCGCCACACTACCCACCCTCCATGCCCTACTACCCCCCACACCACCACTACGCCCACCCGCCCATGTACCACATGGGCAGCCACATGAGCAGTCTGGGCAGCATGAGCATCGGCATGCCGGCCATGCAGCTGTCGAGGGAACGGTCCATGAGCAGCACCACAGACAAAGCGTCGAGAAGTGGCAAGGCCGGCAATGGAGAACGAGGAGGACCGGGTAAGTCTGAAGGCGGTCTGAAGGCGCCTCCGGGTGCTGTCCCTCACGCCAACTCCATCCCCCAGCTGCCGACACAGCACCCTCACTATGCAAGGTACGTGAGCCACCACGAGATAACCACACCGGGTGGTGGTTTTGTCAGTCATCCCTCCCCTCCCCTCCCCTCCCCTCTCTTCGTATGTTTAGGTCTCGTCCATCAGCACCGGTCCGCAGCAACTCTGGCACATCCATGGGCACACCTGAGCATCGCGACCGCGAGACCTCAGACGACGCTCATGACGCACCAACAGTATCACCGGCAGCAGCAAGAGGGGCTCCAAATGGCTTCATTGCCGACACAGAGCGCTCCCGCAGCTCATCAGGTGGTGCGCACCACAGCATTAGTGCCAGGTCATCGCCCCACGGCCCCGCCCACCAAGACTCTATCGCCCTCGATGACGGTGACAGCTCCGCTGACGAATCTGGTGGCCACCACTTGATGCCGGGATACCCCCACCACGGACCCTACTACTCGCCCCAGCCACAGTCCCTCCTCGCTGTGCGGCCGACAGTCCAGGAGTGGCGCTCGCCGGCCCTGCCACCACGGCCGTCGCTGGGCGAGCCACAGCCCTCCCGGTCAGTGACACGCCCTATGCACATCAATGCCGGCGTCCATTCGAGAGCACCGCCGAGTCTGCAGTCTGAGGGAAGTCAGGACAGCAACACAGAGGGAGGAGCACTGAGGGAGTCGCCGCCCTATCGCACCAAGAAGGCCATCCGCATCTTGGCGCCCCCCTCCCCGCCCTCGTGCGCATCGACCGACCTGCCGATGAGCGACCGCCTGGTCTGCCGCGGTCTCGACGCTCCCCACTCGGCCCCACTGCCGCCCTTGCATCCCGCCACGGCCATCCGGAAACGATCAGAAGACGGTATCGAGTCGGACTGCGGCCGGCCGGCTCTCGCCAGGCAACGCTCTGCCGAGAGCCAGCTGACGGCAAGCGAGGATGACGCGCCGCAGATGGCGACTGAGGGGCAGCCGAGGAGGGTGCGGGCGACGGCACACGCGCACCACCGCCAATACCACCACCCTTCAACAACACGGCGGTCGCGGCGAAGGCATACACATACGTCGCGTGGGTCGTCGGGTCGGCGTCGGCGACGCTCATTGGTTGTCAATCTGGCGTCGATGAGCACTAGCACATCAGCCGCCCGGCACCACCTCGATGACTCGTCCAGTGAGACGTCGGCGGCCACGGCCTCTGGGCAGTCGCCGCCACTGGCGGCCCTGCTGCCGCAGAGTGGGCCTGACTCGCCATTGGGCACTGCGTCGCATCACTCAGCGGCCCCTGATCTGACTGTGTCGATGCCGCCGTACGTGGACAGCAATGGCGGCCGGCGAGAGGGGGACGTGTAGACACACAGAGATGAGCAGATGGACCGAAGGGGATCAGTGGGTGCATCTGCCTGCCTGTTGTGTGTCTATCCCTATGTTGTGAATGTCAATCAACGTGATGGTGTTGTGTTCATGTGTGTGTAGTGGTAGCTAGGTCAGTCCGTATCGTATATATATATGTATGTTGCCGGTTTGTGTGATCTTCGTGGCGTGGCGTGGTGGTTTTGACCGATCTGTGCGTGTGTGAGTGGGTGAGTCGAGTCGTTTTTTCCGACAGATGCGGTGCGTGTTTGTGTGTTGAGTACGTCCGTATGCCGTGTAAGTCCACATATGCCTGTGTCTCATGCGTGCAGATCAGATGCGGTGCCTGCGAGTGGTCCTCGCCCCGATGGATGGATGGTCATGCTGGCTGCATGATGGTCTGTCTGATGGTGACGTGATGGTGACGGTGAGCGGTCGGTCTTTGGTCATTTCGTTTGGGAGGGGGAAGTGTGTGGCCGGCTAGCTGGATGGCAGGGCGGGTGTGTGAGAAGGCCGGCTCCAAGGCGCAAGGCAGTAGAGTGTTCTCCCTTATTTAACACATTGCCTGTCTACCTGTCTGTCTGTTGAGTGACGCCCAATTAGCGAACCTCACTCACTGGCTTCACTCACTGCTGACACACACACCAGACACACACACACACCATGTATACAAGTGTTTTCTCATCATCGCTTGCAATCGCACCCAGCCAACCCCAACACACACGCACTACCGACTTCCCCTCTGGTGAGGTCAGTCGATCTATCTGCCGTATCTATCTGTCCATTGGGTCTATCTAATGGTGCCTGCCTGGTCTGCATGCCGTGGTGGCCACCACGCGCCCTTCCTTCTTTTGTGCAAGTCACTCCATCAACCTAATCTGCATTACATGTGTGTGTGTGTGTATGTGTGGTGGATCAAAATTTTTCGTGAGGGGAGAGATTGGGGATGGCTGTAGGCGGGCCAGACAGAGACGGCAAGTAAGTACGTGTTGACGGATAGATGTGGCGCTCTACCTGCATGGCATGACTTGTTCTCCGTTTAGCGTAGCGCGGCGTGCATCATCTTGTTTTTCAACACTCACTCGTGGCACTCACTCATCAGCTGTATACCACTGTCGGCAATCCATCCTCTCATCGATCAGCCAGCCTCACCCTCTATAAGCGAGTCGAGTGTGTCTCATATCCCTACCTGTATGTCAGTCACCTCTCTCTATGCTTAGCTATGTATCGCACCACTCCACCCACTCCAGGTCTTTTGTGTTTCGCGTCGGTCCGTTCGTATGTGTCTGTTTATAGTCTGTCTGCCTCAGTGCTTTTTTCTCCCCTTCTTCTTTCGTGGGGGGCCTATTCTCGTCTCGCATCTTTCTCCACTCATCCTCATAACCGTCCGTGTGTGTGAGATCGTGGGATATGATGATATGGGGGCTTTGCACGTCAGTGCCGTGGTGGGGGGGCTGGGCTGCATGCCATGGACGTCTTTTATGTACAGAAGTGACTGACTGACTGACACGCTTGGCTTGCTCTGCTCGGTGGGCGGCTCGGCTCCTTGGGAGGGGGGTGGGCCACACATCACATCACACCGATCGATCGACCTTTATCCATCCTTTGTGTCCGTGTGTTGTATGTATCTATCGTATGTATCAATCTGTCTGCCTATTGATTGTACAACAACAGCATTGATTAGATGCATCAATACACTGACTGCATGCTTATCAGTCTATCGCTCTCTTTTCACCCCCAGACACTGACACGCCAACACCCACACACAAGACAGACAGTACAGTCCATCCACAGCCAGGTGTCGTTTTCTTGCCTCCTTACTTTAGTCGGCCGACAGACACGTTTCTTGGGAACGAACGGGGTGACTGACACCCAATGGTCGGATGGATGGATGGATGTGTGCATTTCTGCCCTCTCTCGTAGGGCATTCAGTTATCCGGTTGTGCACACACGAGGGGACATCTCTCTCTTGTATTATCGTATTGATTATCGTCTGCCTGTCTCCCTCCTTGTCTGTCTGTCGCTCTCGCTGTGTCTCCTCTCTGTCTAAGTGTCTGCCTGTGTCTGCGTGTCGTGTCTGCTGGGTGGCTTGCTCACGAACCGTGAGGTGTCCTCCTTACATGTGTGTGTGTGTGTGTGTGTGTGTGTGTGGTGGACACTTGGTGGGTCATCATGCCATTGGATGGACCGGACAGATGGACTGAATGGCACGTAATACTTAGTACTGAGTATGCGCTCGGGCCCTGGGGGCAAGTGTGGGCTCCCTCACTCTGCGCCTGCTATCCCAAGAGAGCGCAAGAGAGCCTTTAAGGCTGAGTGCATCCGAATACACATGCCCATGACGTCAGCCATCTTCAGCCTCTTATCTCGTCGGCTGGTCCCCGTCTCTCCCGGCCTCCTCTTGACGACGGGCATTGGAGATGCTGCTGCCGGCCCTCCTGCAGTCGAGGGCAGCAAGCAAGGGGTGTGCACCGCCTCCCGCGTCACCGAACTCAACTGCTTTGTAGTCAGGCATACAAACAACTTCGTGAGAAGGAGCCAACGAGATGAATTGTTTGTGCAGGCGTTGCCAGATGGTGACAAGCGCACCGATGCCACTGACAGTCTGAGAGCATACGCCGACATGCTGGCCTTTCCTGCAGGCGGCTCCGCGGCAAATGACAGATCGGCGAGAACTTCTCGACGGCGGAGACGGAGACGCCCTTGAAAACCCGCAAACCCTGATTTCTTTTGTTTTTCCATTTTTCTCAGCATTTCCGCGCCTTCCCTCTTCTGCTGCATTCTCAGGGCCACAGATCCTTTGTTTCTTCGTCTTTTGGGCTGGTTCTTGTCTTATGTGGCTCGCCTCTGCCTCTCCCAAGCCCCCCCACTTGAGCGGATGTCGGGCGCCACTTCTTTATTCCGCCCTCTACCTACAGGGAGGCCTCAACCAGTGGTGCCCGGCTGCCTGCGGAATGGCTGCAAAGCGCCTGGCGTCTGCCTGGCGTAAGCGGTGTTTTCTCCTCAGGCGGCTTTCTAAGGTAAGTGCGGAGACATTTTATGGTGCGTGCCTTGCGTGTGGTGGCGCGCGTGAGGCCTGTGCGTGTGCGTACGCATCTCGAGGCCACTGCTCAATGCACCTTCTCTCCAATGTTCATCTCAGATGTTTTATCGTCAATTCTTCAGATGGCCGTCTCATTTCTCGACAGGTTCTTCGGCAGGTACAATAAGCTTCCAGTAGGTCTGAAATCTACTGCACACAGCAACTGGTCCGTTGCTGCCTTCCCAGACAAAGGAAATCATTTCTGAGGAGCTCGAGATGGAATGCATCAGTGCTGTGTGAATGGTTCTGATGGGTACAGACTTAAGCTCTCAGTCCCTCAACGAGCTGCTACGAGCAGGAGGCCTGCAGGCCGAGAACCTCTGCAGCAACCAATTAAAACAAGGAAGCCATCAATCCGTGCATCAGGGCAAACACGTGTTTTGCGGGTTGTTTGCAGATCGCGATACTCCAGGGAAAGCTGTTCGACGCAGCAAAAGCGTTTCATTAGGCCGATGCCGAAAGCCATGACCTTATGGAGCGACTGCAGTCAGCTGGTAAGGAATGCCCGGTGAGAAGATACCATTTGCTTGTCTAGAGGTATCAGGCAGCCAGCGGGAAGTATGGAGGGGCCGGCGCTCAACGAGAACAACAAGAAGAAGCGGAGACACGACTGGGAGGGAGACGACACCTTCCACCCTCGAGTGGGGGTGCACGCCCACGCACATGGGCTGGGGTGCGGCCTCGGCATCAATCGTCCCAATGAAGAGGTGACTGACAGACAGAAGGAGAGACAAATGCGAGCCTCCAAAGACTGAGGTGCAACGTGCTCAGATCTGCCGTCCGCGTCGAAGACGAGGCCAAGGACGAGCCATTCTGCACCCCTCGATCGCATACTTGATCAAATCATTAGCTGTCAGGGTCGGCTGCCCAGTCAGACTCCCAGTGTGACTCGCCATGGTGAGTTTGCCCCATCCGGCCCTTGGCTTCAAGAAGGACGAACACGCCAAGCATTGGAAGAACTCCGAGACCAACACATGCCTCGGAGCCTTCTTCGTGGCGTTGTTTGGTTCCTTCGTCACCGGGACCACCAACTCGCTAGTAAGCGCCCGAAGGAGAGGAAACACAACGGATACAGATGTCCTGATGTTTGCATGTGTGTGTGTGTGTGTGTGTGTGTGTGTGCAGTATGTTTTCTGCCACAGGGCCGCCAAGGCCTTGAAGGACCACCTGTTCACCACGGGAGAGCTGTGGTACATATGATTTTGAGCTGGTGAGCCAAGAGCTGCACTCAACTGACCTGAAGACGGACGTATACACCCATGACGGTCTGCCTGTGTGTGTGCATGTGTATGTGTGTGTGTATGTGTGTGTGTGTGTGTGTGTGTGTCAGACGGTCGGGTTGGCAGGGCTTTGAGGCAGCATCAAGTGTGCCTTTGCGGGAGGGTACGCTGAGTTCGAGATGCTGTCTCGACAAAAAGGAGTGGGCCATTGGTAATGACACACAGACAGCATAAAGACGTGTCGATCATTCATTCATCCATCCATCCATCCCTCCATCCATTGGTGCTGTGCTGATCTCATCTCAGGTGCCACTGGTTTTGAGATGTTGACCTGTCTGACGCCCATCGAGGCGTGCGAGTTTGATATGGAGGTGGGTGGGGCGGCACACACACATGCACAACACACACACAAACAATGCAACTTGCTGCTGTATTAATTGCCGCAGAGGTTTCGATTCATCTTCGGCGAGGGGCAGCATCAGACGACTATCTCCTCTCTCCTCCGACTCCGATTTCGTGCATCGGTACTGCAGATGACAAGGTGGGCGAGACCAAGTGGTCAGCGGCTGAGTTTCTGGACGAGGGACTGGGCTGGTATACGGTGTACCGCAAAGATGTCGGGAAGCTGCTTCGCTCTCGCACAGCAAGCTGTGACACTTCATTCGAGAGCTCGCAGCGACTATGCTGGACGCATCACTTATTGGTTTTTAAGTGAGTAACATCGATGGTCGAGCCCTCTCAGCCATCAGATCGGGCGCCAGACGACAGGGGCGGCTCCCAGAATCAAGGTCAGCCCACACACGGTTATACATGGGTCCTTGTCGAAAGAGGGAGATAATGGATGCTCGTATGTGTCCGTGTGCTGATCGCAGAGTTGACAGCACAAGATTGGGAGCACCTTCGGCAACTTCGGCAATTTCGGCAACAGCACCCTCAGGCGCAACATGCCGGTATACCATGCAGGAGGAGATGCCATGTCAGTGCGCGTGTCTATTTAATGTATGCGCGTCCGTCAGGTCAAGGGCCAGCGGTAGGGTCTCAGCCACAGGTAACCCCAATGAGAGACAATGGCCACCGATTCGCATCTCTTCGTCTCATCGATGTCCATGTGTGTGCTTTATTGGTGGAGAGTGCGTCATTCCTGGACAACAAGGGGCCTTACTTACATCCCTCAGTGCCGCCGAGAAGAAAAAGCGGGCTGCTCGCCTGCTGATTCAGCGGTGGAGACAGCATGAATCTGCAGGCCTGAAAATATAGTTGCCTCTCTGCTGCTGCAGCAGGAGATCAGGAGGCGGATGTGGGAGGTGAGAGAGAAGACGGGAAAGAAGCGGTGAGGAGGGCCAAAGAGGTGAGCAAGTGTGCCGTCACACAATGAAATGAACCTGCCGTCAGAGAAGTAAAGTGTCTGTTTGTGTCTCTCTGTGCTGCAGATTGCTGCCTCCATTTTATATCTGCTGATCCATCTTCTCCTTGGAATGCGCACCTTATCCATTCATCAAATTCGGCAAGATGGTGCTGTTCGAGAGAGTATTCTCGGTGCTGTCTTCAGGGCGGGCTGCGCCCTGGTGCCGGCGGGCAAGGCCAAGTGCCTGGCACACGCCTCGTGGCACCTTGCCATCGCACACGGCCCTCCTCACTGCTGGCCCCCTGCTTCAAGGTCAGAACACACACAGACAGCCGGACGGACACCGTACACGAGTGTATTCGTCATCTGTTGTGTGCGCAGTAGCGGTGCGCCACATGCCTGTGCCGGTCACGAAGGCAAGTCAGCACAGACAGACACACATGAGAATCTCGATGTACGTCTTTATGTGTCGCACTCATTCAGGTGGTCTGCGGCGACAGCCATCCCGCTGCGGTTGGGTGCAGGGTTGGTGATGAGGCTGCCGGGGGGTCAAGAGTCAGATGGTATTCGCACAAGGAAGGACACGGCCAGCGGGCGATGGGACGAGGAGCCTGAGCCGGATGCCAAGATACCCAAGGAGCGGCCCCCATTCAGCAAAAGACTGGATGTTCCGGTAGGCTGAATGAATGAGTGGATGGATGCATTACCTATCTCGTGTGTGCATGTTATGCAGGAGGATAAGGACACCAAGGACCCGATCCCTCTCACCAAGAGGGTCCACCCGGACCGAGGTGTCTATGAGGCGATTGAGGTTGACAAACAGGAGCCGAGGGTCATCAAGATGCTCAGAGCCACTGAGAAGAGGGCCTCGGGAACCAAGCAGCGGCCTGGCACGGTAAGCCATTCCTTCGCCGTTCATTGAGCATCGGACGGATGTGTTCTCTGTGTGTGCATCTTGTGTGTGTGTGTCTGTGTGTGTGTGTGTGTGTGTGTGTGACAGCCGGACAACGAGATCCATGTGCTGAATCTGCTGAAACACGAGCGGCGCTTCTTCATAACAGCTGAAGAGACCAAAGTGGACAAGCATTGGTCACTCATCGTCATGAAGCGGGCATTGATGGACATGTCGGACTGGCGCTGGTAAGGCAGATCCATGCACGATGGATGCTTAACATGGCGTACGTCATCCATTGTGCATGCAGCCGTTTCCGGGGTTCTGTGGTGCTGGCCTGTGTCGTTGGCTACGTGGTGTTCTGCCTGCTGCAGTCGCTGGAAAAGCTGGCCCTCAAGTGAGTGAGTGAGGGCGATCTGGCACATCCAGTCGGCCAACAGATTTCAGCCACACCGCGGCGTTTCGTTTTAGGTACATCCTTCTTGTCTGTCTGTGTGTGTGTGTCTACCTATCAGACAGACAGGAAGGATCGGCTTCCCGCGCGGAGAGGTGCTCGTCACCGGCCTGCCCCAGTCTCCCCATGGACGACGAGAACAACGAGAAGTGAGCAATGTGCAGCACCCTGCCTGCTGTGTGTGTCTTTGTTGGATATTGAAGTGTGTTTGTGTGTTTGTGTGACCTCGAGGACTCACTCACCGGGAAGGTCGCAAAGGAAGAGGTGAGTGAGTGAGCCAGGCATCCCCTCCACCCGTATGTCTCTGCTCATCTCATCCACTCTTCCCTTCCTCGTCCGTCATTGATTAGGGTGTTTTGGCCTACTTCGGCCAGTGGAACAAGCCGACCGGTGATGGCACCTCACTAGAAAGGGGGTACGGCGCACACACATACACACACTCATACAACACGACACGGCATTACACACACCACGATCATACATCGAGAGTAGTGCGTATATTGTCGCCCACGCATTCTTGATGGAGGGAAGGACAGACAGCCGCAGCTGCTGGGCTCACTCGTCGTTGTGTGGCGGTGTGGTTGCTTGGTTGGTTGCTTGGTTGGTTGGTTGGTTGGTGTGTCGCAGATTGAGAAGGCTGTTCAGGACGAGTGGAAGGAGCTCGTACAGTCATATTTTAAGTATGTCCACCACACACACACAAATGCACACACACACACGGAGATGCCACGTCTCATCCGTGTGATCTCTGTCCGTTGTGTGATGGGTGCAGGCCGATAGAGAGGCTGCGCAAGGTGTTCCCGCGTGACTGACTAGGTGCGCAGGGCGACCACCGGTGAGCCATCAACACGACTCACACACACACTCACAGATGCAGACAGGCGCCCTCACCTGGCCCAGATGGCACGATCACGGTGCCTGATCGACGGAAATGCTAGGAGCTCCAATTGTTCATTTCCGTTCGTCAACGACCACATCGTAGCATTACAGGGGGCTTGTTTGTTTGTTTGTTGTTTCCCTTGATCCTCAGATTTTCGATTGGTGCCCTGCATAGTGAAGCCGCTTAGCCCACACCAGCCGCTGCGCCTTCGGCACCACTCTCTCTCTCTCTCCCGCCCCCACTGCACACTGGTGCACAGCGGTCAGGCTGCGGACTGCCTGAACCAGCGCGAGCCCATCTCGTTCCCACACATCCAGGATGGCAGCCGCAGCCTTCTGTGCGCAAGACCACCGTCACCACCAGACAGCTCACCGAGCTGGCCCTGCTGTACCTGCTGTCCCACCACCATGCCATCCGCTCCAGACGCTCCACCGACCCGGCCCTCCCTGCCGACTACGGCAAGGGGACCATCCCACCCATCCTATGGCCTGCCATCAAGGACGCGCTCCCTCCTACACTACGTTTGCTGATGGTGAGTTCGGCGTGTGGGACGCGTCGGACCTCGACGGTGTGTTCATGACCGCCGGCACCGACAACTACGCATCCACTGTGGTAGGGCACGCACACAGACGGCGATGCCCGTGCCCAGCCATCCTGCGTGTGTGTGTGTGTGTGTCGATGTGTGTGTGTGTAGGCGGTCACTAAGCTCTTCTTTGACGGTATAGCGGAGGGCAACTTCAAGCCAACAGGGGCACACGTACTCTTCCCGTCGATCATATGGGCAGAGATGAAGGACCAGTTTAACCTCGACAGAGGTGAAAGAGACCGAAGAAGGCCACGTACAATCGCTTCCTTCCTCTCTGTGTGTGCAGTTGAGGGGACGCTGCCCTTGACTGTGGCGGGCAGTGGCGGCTCCCCTGTAGCGAAAATCTCCCCTAGGTGGGTGTAGATGACGGCCTCTGTGGCGACAGACTGACATAAGTATACGTGTGTACATTGCAGGTTGTCGTGGGTCCCGTCGTGCGTGTTGGTGCAGGAAGTCAAGAGCAAGCTCCTCTCAGGCCAGCTCCTCTCAGTCCGAGCAGGTAGTTGAGTGATCGGCAACCCGACGAACCATTTGTATGTCTCTGTTGCTGCCTACCGCTACTCAGGGTGAAGTGGCCGTGCAGGACAAGGGTCACCTCGACAAGGTCCACCAGATCGTCATCCCGCACGGCTGGGCCTCCCACGAGCTGGCGCGCAACGTCCTCCACTGCCTGCACTCGCCGAGATTCAAGGTTAGACGGCAAGCACCACGCAAAGCACCATCCTGTGTGTGCCACTTTGTGCTGTTGCCCAGGATGGTGAGGTGGCCCCGCTCACACCCATCCGTGAGTTGTCAAAGTATCCCAAATCCATGCAGAAGTCCATCGGTGCGGCCTGTGCAGGCACACCTAGGTACACCTAGGTACGAGAGGGGGAGTGGGGCGAGTACGGCCGTGTGCAGGGCCTCTTTCGTGAGGGAGGGCCCGCATACTGCCAGCTTGTACATGACCTCCAGCGAGGGGCGCTAAGGGGCAATGCTGCTGGCGGACCGCTGGCCGTCATCAACACCATCGACCCCCCCACCAGACATCAGTCACATGGCGGCGGCTTCGTGTGTCTTCGGATCCTCGCCTTCCCGCCTGGTGCGAGCTCAGTGCTGCCCTTGCTGGCGGCCAGGACGGCAAGGACGTGCGCACCATGGCGGGAATCGAGATGGCGAGAGGCGACAATATCGACGCGATCATGCGGGAGCAGCTGGATCTGGGTGAGGAGGAGAGGCAGCTGGCGAGGGTGCTAGGCACCATCGACCTGCTGGACAAGGCCATTCATGGGATGCATGACGTGAGCAGGGGGCACATGACACAGACAGGAACGTTCTCTGGCTTCTGGCTGACTGGTGTGTGTCTTTGTTCGCTTTCTACTAGCACCAGGGCACATAATGGCTGGCTGTGTTGGGACGTGTAGTGGGGAGAGGGGACAGCGTTGCAGTTCACCTACGCCCCTGCGTGAGTGACGAGTGGGTGGCTGGCGTCTGGCTGACTGGTGTCTGTCTTTGTGTCCAGGTAGCGGTTTTTTCTGTTTGTGAGTCGCAGAGGCGCATCGAGGAGGCCGTGGTTGCTGCTGCTGTTGCCGGTTTGTCGCCAACGGACGCCATCAGCCCCGTGCAGTTGGCCGAGGAGCTTTCGCGCCCTTCGGCCTTCGTGTCGACCGACGACGAGTCGTCCAGCATCCTCATTGCTTTTCAGCGGGTTGTCCAGTGGTCATCGTTGGTAAGCGGAAAAGCGGAGACATCGAATCTCGCGACTACATACACTGATTTTGTCTCCGTCTTATGCAGATCGATCGCTGCTTACATTTTATATCCCCAGTACCTTCATTGATCGTTTCGCGAGCATCAAGCAGCCGGCAAGGAGAGGGGCAGCATCGTCACTGGGCGCTGCAAGCCAAGTGTCTCCCCAATCAAGCAGGCGTCCTCAAAGACCTGTCCGACCCCGGGTGGCAGCACAGGATTCAAGCAATGCCATCGGCCCTGTCGTTCTGACACGTTTCGCACGAGGAGGCAAGACTCGAACCCTGCAGAAGGTCGGCAAGTTGCTACGGGAACAAGGCATTCCCGTTTTGTTCATCACATCTTTCGATGCTACGAAGATCAAAGACGACGAGCGGCACAGCATACGACGAGGCGGAGCTCCTCTGCGACGCATATGAGGTAATGCACTGCACTGCACTGCACAGAGAGAGGAAGGGAGAGAGGGAGGGTTGGAGAAAGGCCCCTTTGCAGTGATGGGATCTCACTTTGTGTGTTGAGTGGATGTGCCTCACAGAAAGGTGCCGAGGAGAAGGTCTGTGCGTTGGCTTATTGGCTGCCGGCGATGTTCGAGAGGTATAGAGCGCGCAAAGACGTCACAGAGGTCTTCAAGGTGAGTCAGCCACACACATCAGAGGGGAGACAGACAGACGACACCGCCCCCTCCCCTTTGTGTGTCCGCCGTGTAGATTGACCACCCGTTTCTGTCGGTGTTGATGGCGGACGAGCGCCTCAAGTCGAGGCGCTCGTGTACGCCAAAAAGGCCATTGGACACGTGGCCAGCCGCACCACCGCGGAAACGCACAACAAAGAGGTAACTGCGGCACATCGAGACACCATCCTGCATATCTGGATGACTACTGGAGTATGAGAGCCACGGCGCTCTTCGTGCTTTTCCTGTCGTCCGGTTGTGCTGCCCTCGACCTCAAGCCGCTATTCTTCATCCGAAAGGGGATGATGGAGGCCTATCAGGAGAAGGGGGAATGAGAACAGCGGCCAATGGAGCGCCGGGAGGTAAACACATGTGGCGGAAGCCGCATTATCTTAGCCACATATGATATGTCTCTTTGGGTCTGTCGATAGGGCCTGGCCGCCCTAATTGCTGCCTGCATTTCATATCTCGAGGTCTTTACTCTCATTTCATGAGCCGCCCACGTCAAGAAGTGCGAGCGATCCAGGTAATTTGCTGTCTGATGTAGAGGGGGTCAGGGGCTGTGATCTCTGTGTGTGCACATGTGTTTGGTGCAGGTGAGGGTGTCTAATTCCCTGGCCTCCGGAGAGCAGGTGGATAACGACGATAACGACTCTCGCAGCCACATCGCATGCCAATTGAAGGGGGCAAGGAGGGCGATGAGGATGAGGACGAGTTGGTGGAGTATGCAGCTGTCAGCGACAACCTCTGGCGGTACCACCAGGTCAGCGACGAGGTCCGGGAGGCCGCATTTGGCCCACTTCGTGCCACAGCCATCGGCCAACCTGCAGCCGACCGCCGCCGAGAGGGCCGCCGTCGAGGAGCCGCTGAGAGGCCATGAGCTGCTGATGTGGACGCGACTGATCGAGGACGAGAGCCAGCTGCTCCACCGTCTCGGCAGCCAGCTGAGAGGTCCCGCTCTGCTGGCCAGGGGGTTCGTGAGTCCCGACGACCCCGTCACACTCACTGTCCTGCCACCCAAGGACAAGACCTCCAGCTGCCGTGACGAGGAGGAGGCCGCAGGAGCGACGACGACGCTCAAGCTATCGGGCCGTACTTCGCTGTGGAGACCCTCAGTAAGCTCAAGATACAGAGATGGGGAGGGAGGGAGGGAGGGAGGGAGGGAGGACGAGGAAGGACGGAAGGAAGGAATGTGCCCGAATGAACATCACGTGTGTGTGTTCCTGTTGTTGGTGTGTGCGTCTCTTCTGTCAGAGTTGGACGGCGAGGGCGCCCCCAGCCTGGGCGAGGTCACCGCGGCGCGACCGGCGCTCAATGCAGCCCGCTACACCGACACACCACTCGAGCCCCCCAACCTCTACGTACGGTCCGGGCGGCGGCAAGAAGCTCAAGCCGTCCCTGATGCCCGCATTCGCCGCCACCACCCGTCGCGCCATCCACCCGGCGAGAATGGGCCTCGGCGAGAGAGTCAGATTCCGGAAATGTGTGAATAAGGCGAAGAGGAATACACTGAGAAGCAACGTACGTAGCAGACAAGGTGGATGTTCATCTGTGTGTTGAATGTGTGTTTGCTTACCAGGCTGAGCAGGGGCGGCGCTTACTTCTCTTCTATCTGTTTGCGGGAGCCCTTCTTCGGGCGTGGCTGGGCGGCAACCTGCTGGTCACTTCCGGCGGTACCATGGTGATCCTCGGTATCAAAGTGGGCAACAAGGAGGCGAAGGACAACTCGCTGTGTTGACTGTCTGTCTGTCTGTCTGTGTCTCTCAGGGGGTACGTTTCCTCTCCCCATGGTGCGCAAGATGAATGAGCTGGGCCTCCAGCTGGCCGAGGAGCAGCGGCAGCATCTTCTGCAGCAGTGGCGCATTTATCTGACGGCCCCCCCGCAGCTGTCGTTCCACACGCCCGCCTACATATCGGTGCCTCACCTCCATCTGCATGTGCTGGTGCCCCCATTCGCCCACGGCAAGGAGCGCAAGCACGACCTGCGTGAATGGGCGCGTGTGGAGAGTATCGACAGGGTGAAAGCCCGTCTGGAGCGAGAGCAACAGTCTGTGAGTAGTATTGGGTGAGGTGCCGGGACACACAGGGGTAGGTCGCCTGTCATCATGTCTCTTGTGGTCATTTGTGCCTGTGGTTACGTATGTGCGTATGTGCGTGTAGCGGAGTGGGCCAGAGTGGCCAGCTGGGCAGCGCCGCCGATCGCGACGTCGAGTACCAGCGTCGCAACTTTGTCCTAAACGTGGGTTCCACCTTAGCACCCACTCACCCCACAGATTTATAAGTGTATGTGTCACTCTCTTGTCTGTCTGTCTGTCTGTCTGTCTGTCTGTCATGTGTTGGTTGACCAGACCGACGGAGGGGCCCCAACCCGGACAGATTCTCCATCCCGCCTCCCGTCGGCTACTTCTCACGCCCCCAGCGCCGACCATCACCAAATCCCCCCCTGACACCAAGAAGAGACAGAGCTGGTACGTACGTGGGTCCGTGACTGCATCACATGTACGTATGTATAACTTTGTTGTTCGTCCCGTGTTTGTGTTTGTCTTTGTGTTCGCAGGGGTGGAGGCAAGGCGACGTGCTGCCGCTCTCCCCAACCACAGGAGGTACGTACAGCCATCCATTCATTTCACTCCCTCTCATTGATTGTGCGTTTTGGATGTCCGAAGGACTGGCAGCTGCTCGTCAAGGACAAGGACCGGCGCAGGAAGGAGCCCATGACCAGGCGGTAGCTGGAATGGATGGTGCGTACGCATATATGTATGTTTGTATCTGTGTAGGCAAGGAGTCGCACATACCAGACAGACAGACAGACCCACACGCTAGACATGCGTCATGGATGCGTGGGTTCCTGCATGTGCTGTGCTGTGTGCAGGCCGTTGAGAACAGGGGACGCACCCGTCATCTTCGGCAGGTCCCCACGGCCACCATCCCGAGCTGACCTTCGAGGGCAGCCCGCACACCGCAGGATGGGATCGGTCAGAGAGGCGGAGATCAAGAAGGCCTGTGCATGTAGCCCGGGATGGGGTCAATCGGTCGCCGACGACAAGACAAAGGAACAGCAAGGGGCCTTCGTGGGAAGGGTTAGCCCACACAAACACATTCTGCAGCAGATCAACCGTCTCTTAGTGTCTCTCCCTGCAGATCGCTGCCGACATTTTATATTTGCGGATGTTTTTTTCTCTACTTGGAATACGCACGACGACGACCATCGTGCTCAGCTGCCCACGAGGAGAGGGACAATAAGGGAGTTCAACCCAACAAGCGATAAGGGAGACCGGTGAGGTACGTAAGTGATGTATGTATCTTAAGATATTGTCGTCCATGTGTGGGCAGCGACGCCCGTGTGTCTTTGACGGCCGTGTGTGCGCCGCAGGCGTCGGATCCGACTCCCGCGGACCAGTCAGAGGCCGCCGCCGGGCGTAACAGCGTGGAAGGCGGTGGGATGGCTGTGGATCGCGCTTGGGTGCATCGCGGCGGCTGTAGTGATCCTCTACCTGCCGCACACGTGGATTCAACCAGTGGGGTCCCGAGCTCAGGGAAGATGGCGACACGTACGAATATATCTCTACAACACATACAGGGATAGATCACGTGTCGACACTGAGGTGTGTGTTGGCTCTCCTTTCCATTCGACAGGTTGTTTGTGAGCAAGTTCGGTGACGACGTGTCCACCAAAGACTCACCCGACCCGCCGCCACCTGCGAGCACGCTCCCACCCGACACTTTCTTGCCCTGCTCGCCGTCCACGCTGCCCGGCTGCTTTTTCAGGCTGTTAGGCGTAGGTGGTACGAAATGAGAGACACAGCACAACTTGATCGACGTAATGTTGCCCGTCTCCTGTCGCTTAGACTCTCAATCATCGCTGACTGCATTTTATATTTGGGACACTTTTCTGCACACGATGACGACTCCCTGCCGCATCTTCACGCCCCTTCCTCAGCCCATTCGTCACCCAGCTCATCCAGAGCTTCCTTCAGCGTTAGCAGCAGCAGCAGCAGCACCAGCAGCCCACCCCCTCCCGCCCTCTCCTCCCTGCCATCAGCGGCCCGGTGTCGCCGGCATACACGGCTGGAGCTGATATGCGTGTGTCGTCTGTCTCCGTCCCTGCGCCCGTGCCCAGCTGCGACGGTCGAGGACCTCTGCCAATCGTGGCCAACGGAAGCCAAGGAGGCCAGGTCGACGTCAATGAGGACCGTGTGGTGACCGTGATAGTGCCCCAGCCCCTCCTGCCGTCCCCCGTTGCTGCGCCTGCATCCGTCGGTGTGCCGGCTGCGGCGATCGGTGTGCCACAGCCACAGCAGCACCAGGGGCCATCACAGCGGCAGCATGAGGGCGTACTGCCCACACCGCCGGCCTCATCCCGAATCCGATCACTCCCCCCGTCGCCACCACAGGGCGTTTTTGGGGGTCCTGTTGTGTCGAACGGGGCTGGCGCTGCTGGTATGGGGATACCCGAGCGTTCCCCTGTCTCCCCGTCCCCGCCCCCGCGTGAGCCTCCAGCGTACGTCAGTCAGCCACGCGATGACGACCATCCCCACATTCGCCCACGTCTGCCGATGACATCTGTCGGTGCGCCTCCCCCACTGTTCGCCCACCGCCCTGCCATCCCCCCCGCCGGCAGGCCGTCCATTCCCCCACCACCCAGCAACTGCGGCCTGGGCGTGCCTCACCCTTCCCCACTCCTACCCCAGCCCCCATCACCACCACTCTCTCCTTCGATGGTGGACAAGGACAACGCCTGGAGCCCAACCGCAAGAGGTGGGGGGATGCCCCGCTTCGGGCCTGACAGCAGGGACATGTCGGTGCCACAGCCACAGCAGCACCAGCAGCCATCACAGCGGCAGCATGAGGGCATACTGCCCACACCGCCGACCTCTATCCAGATTTTGCCGCCCCCACAAGCCCGACCACTCCCTCCGCCCCCGCCACAGCCACAGCCCACGCCCAAAAAGATCATGCCCCGATCACCACCCGCCCCATCACCCGGTGCCCACCAGCCCCCTCACCACCACCAGCACCACCACCGAGGACCCCCACCCCCACGACGAGGCCGAGGGGGCCGCCCACCGCCCGGCTCGTACTGGCGGCCTGTGCGCGTACATTGGGGGATTTCATGAGGGCGGTGAGGCGAGGCGGTAATCAGCACAGAAGGGAGATGAGGCTGAAGCGCCGGGAGGAGGAGCAGGAGAGGAGGGCGGGAGGCGAGGGGGAAGGAGAGGGCAGCCCGCACACGGCAGGATGCGATCGGTCATCAAGAAGGCGTGTGCATGTATCCCGGGATGGGGTCAATCGGTCGCCGACGACAAGACAAAGGAACAGCAAGGGGCCTTCGTGGGAAGGGTCAGCCCACACAAACACATTCTGCAGCAGATCAACGGTCTCTTCGAGTCTCTCCCTGCAGATCGCTGCCGACATTTTATATTTGCGGATGTTTTTTCTCTACTTGGAATACGCACGACGACGACCATCGTGCTCAGCTGCCCACGAGGAGAGGGACAATAAGGGAGTTCAACCCAACAAGCGATAAGGAAGACCAATGAGGTACGTAAGTGATGTATCTTAAGATACTGTCATCCATTTGTGGGCAGCGACGCCCGTGTGTCTTTGACGGCCGTGTGTGCGCCGCAGGCGTTGGATCCGACTCCCGCAGACCAGTCAGACGCCGCCGCCGCAGGTGTTGTTGATGCCTACAGTCGAATGCCGCAGCCGGGCCTTGGTGCGCAGACTTTCTCTTTGCTGCTTAAAGCAAACGGGCGTGTTGGCCGGCCTGCTGCAGTGGGACAAGGAGCAGGAGCAAACTCTCTGAACAAGAAAGTTCCCCTCGTCCAACAAGGTGGACTATCTCTCTCAAGCCCCAATTGAAGGCCAGAGTGAAGGCCAGAGTCATCGAATTAAAGGCCGCATCGTTTAGAAGCCTGATATCCGCCTTTATGTCAATATCGTCTTACACTCGGAGCAAAAAGTCAATATCGAAAATAATCAATATCGCCAACAACGCCTTTTCCATCCTCCTCGTCATTGGACGTCGTCGAGGAGCAGGGGGTCGATTGTTGGTCGCTGTCAGCTTGGTGGCGCTAGGTCAAGATCGGGGTGAGGCGTTGGAGGATCACACCAGGTGGTGGCTGACACTGTCTCGCTGCTGTCATCTTGATTCATCAGGTTGGTGTGGCGTCCATTCATCGCTGTCTACATTTTATATGCCTCGGGCCCCTATCTCTCAACAACGCGCTGTCGGTGCTACTTGCTCTGTGAGGCTCAGAGGAAAGACAATAGCTGCGGACCCACGCCGCCTTCAATCCCCCTCACACAGCTGCACCAGCCCCCTTGTGTCTCCAGCCGCACCAGCCCCCTGCACGACATAAGGGGGCCAGCAAGGCAAGGCCGCCACAGAGGCTCGAGGACGACCCCCGCATTCAGAGGGCCGTGTTGTGGCCCTGGGGCGGGCATGGCCTGGCAGCCACCTGTGCCACCATCAAGACCTGCTGCCACTGCTGGACGACCGCCACCGGCACCTCCCGTCCTGCTGGTGCATTCGTCACTGGCACCGTCTGTGGCAGCTGGACCTGATATGCATGTGTCGTCCGCCGCCGTCCCTGCGGCCATGCCCAGCGAGAGTCGAGGACCTCTACCAATGGCGGCCAACGGGAGCCTAGGGGGCCAGCTCAAGGTAAATGAGGACCGTGTGGTGACTGTGATCGTGCCCGCTCCATCGGCAGGCCGTCCATTCCCCGTCAGATGATTCCTCAGCAGCAGCCCGGGATCGTCCCTCCTCCACCACCCAGCAGCTGCGGCCTGGGCGTGCCCACCCTACCGGCACCGCAACTCGGCCTCCTGGTACTCAAGATCAACCACAGGCACGGCTACAAGTGCAAGGACGTGCCCGACAAGATGGTCCGAGGCAGCTGCCGCCATCGATGGCGGACGGATGGCGATGACGGAGCAACAGCGCCAGCACACCCTCGGCAAGTGCAGTGGAGGGACTGAAGAAGCGGCCGGACCTCATCGGAGACTTTGTTCAAGATCCTCGATTCATGCTGGAGCTCAAGACTCCCACACCACCGACCACACCACCTGTGGAAGGACAGACAACGACGACAACGACGACAACGACCACCACCAGCAGCAACAGCAGCAACAGCAGGGAGGCGGCAGACCAACTGGCGCGGCCACTGCACATGGATCGCGGCCCACCCCCCAATCCTACTGTGTCGTCGACACAGCCGTCATCAGCCCACCACCAGCTGCTGCTGGTGCCGGTGATGGTGCCGAGGTCAGTGCCGTTGACTTGGACACCGAGGGAGGGCAGGATGTGCACATCGGGGGCGAGGAGGAGCAGCCTCCAGCAGGAGGCGCAGCAGCAACCGCCCAGCCTGCAGGAGCGACCGGAGGGGGAGGGGAAAGGACCTGCCAGTAGCGGCGTAAGTATGTCGTTTAGCTTGAGGTAAAGCTGCGCGAATCTACAGCGCTGCCGTTAGGTAATGGACAGTTCCAAAGCTGCGCATTTCTTTCTGTTCTCGCTTTTTGAACAGTTGTGGCCAGAGAGACGCGTCTTCGAATTGTGGCAGACACGGATGTTACACGGCACAAGAGCCATCAGAAGAGCCTCCTCTACCTCATAGTGCGCGTGCAGGCACCTGAACATTCAGGTGCCTGCACGCGCAGACAAGGCACAGATAAGCAACACACATGAAAGGACACTCTGTTTTGCCATTTGGCAGATCGACTGGCTCCTCCCTTCCGTGTTGTTGAAGCTAGCAAACATCTACTAGAAAGCCCACAATCTGTCTATGTGTCGGTTATCGCTTGACAACGCAAAAAGGCAAGTAGCGGCGTAAGTGTTAGCATGTGCGGCAGAAAGGCGACAAAGGCACCAGCGGCAGAGGCAGGGAGGGGCAAGGGCAAGAAGGACAAGGCGGCCAAATTGCATGCCATCCACTCGGTCAGCGCGCTCACACAAACACACACACACACACACGCACTGACCTCGTGAATGCACGCTCGTTGCTCTAACAGGCGCTTGAGAGGGTTCGAAAGGGAACCGGCACACCCGCACCCGCACGTGCGCCGCCCCCACCCGGCCGTGCAGCCTCGTCCGTGTCGTCTCCACCCATGGACGTTTCCCGGGGCACGTCGTCTCCAGTCTGGATGCGGAGAGGGAGAGGGAGATGAGGAGAGGCCGGCCGAGTCGCCACGAGAGGCTGAGGGCGAGGGTGAGGCTGCCGCAGCGGGTGAGGCCGAGCCACCTGCCCAGATTGGCGAGGAGGCGGAGCAGCCAGAGGCTCAGGAGGCCGCAGGGGAGGCCGCTGCGGAGGACATCGAGGTCACGGCCACATCACTGTCGCGGGATGGGGCGTACCTCAACCCCCAATTCTCGCGACAGACTATGGTGCTCTCCCGAAAGTGCAGGAGGCCGCAGGGGAGTGGGAGGTCGCAGGGGATGGAGAGGCGTGATGATTGGCAGCGCTATCCGAGCGATGAAGTGCGGCATTGCCGGCCCATGCCGTCGCCGTGCGCGTCGGCTCCGGGCTCAAGTTCTTCAAGATACATTGGACCTCCTGCTGGAGCAGAAGGTCCTTGAGCTTTCAGCCGACGTCGTCCGGATGTCAATGGCTGCAATCGATAAGCTGTCCGACATGACGGTTTCAGCGGCAGCGGTGAGGATCAGCCATCTGCCCCCGCTCCCTCACCGGCCACCGACCAAGCCACAGCCCGGGATGAGGCGGCGACCGTCGCTCAAGAACCCAGCACACCATCGCCCACACCACCTACCGACCAAGAGATGGCCGCAGCGGAACCGCGGCCCTCTCTTGAGATCCCACGGGAGCTTCTGTGGAACATCTTAAGGCATGTCGCCGATGAAGCACTCGTTGGTAAGGTCGTCAGCCAGTGAGTGAATGGGTGCATCTCAAATGTCTCTTGTGCGTGCTGCATGAACAGTGTGTCATGAGTCTACGACAGAGGTGTCTGCGCACCGCCAGCGCGTCGATCGGCAACGACGGGCGGATCGTTCTCGGCGCCTCATCGATAGGTACACGCACACCTCAGGCCCTTCGAGGACGGAAGAGGTGGAAAGGGGGAAGAAAGACGACATGAAAGAGAGAGAGACGACGAAAGGAATCGTTAGTCTCTTGTTGATTTGATTTGACTGTGTCTCTTACCAGATCGCCGCCTACATTTTATATTTCTGAGGCTCTGATCGACTTCGATGCACAGTAAGGGACGTACACGTCGATGTGAGTCTACCAACAGACATCCCGCCTCATTGGGAATCAGGCCTCCGCGTCATATGTATGTCGCCCCAGAACAGCCCTATCTCTGTCAGTGCCATGGTGCGTGGTTCTATGCAGTGCACAGCCAATGATGTGGTCAGCTTTCAGACCAGATGGACACGTGTGTCTTGTCGAAGTCTTTTATCCATCAGTGGTCGCACGCAAACACACCGCACAAACACACCGCTGTCGGCGGCAAGCGATAAGCCCCGCTTCTCATCTTATTAGGGGGATGGCGGCTGCACAGAGACCGAAAGTGTCTCCCCAATAACAGAAAGCGAAAGTGCCCTCCCAGGGTGCTTGTCGCTGGTGCTGACTCGGGAAACGCTGGCGACTTCTCTCACAGACAGAAAAGGCCTCAAATGATGGGAGCAATCGCGATGTCGATCCATTTTCGTAATGCGAGCTCACCCAACGAAGCAGCGTGGGAGCGTAGCAGCAGCATAGATCTTGGCGAAGACCATGGCGAGCAGGCACTGGACAATCGCATACATCATCGAGAAATACGCTCGGAGACCGATTCGGTCTATCACAATGGTATGCCGACTTACGCACAGAGCCATGCTCATGTGTGTGCATCTGTGTGTGTGCAGCGGCAGCTCATGAACATCACATCGACGGCACCGTCTGCCCTCATCAGGAACGCGGAGTGGCTGCGTGAGGAAATGGCGGTGCGGTTCGCCCATCGGCTGTGCGACTTCAACAGACAACCGCACATCGTGGCGCTCAATCCTCACATACACCAGGTGAATGACCAGACATCGACACAGCACAGAAGACGCATGCACCTGATGAGCCTGTCTGTGTGTCTGGTTGGGTTGGCAGGTGTATGAGCTGTACACGAGTGCGTTCGAGCAGCTGGTGGAGTTTCCTCCCGTGCGTGACGAGGAGGGCGAGAGCAGCTTCACCAAGCTCATCGAGGATGTGGTGGCATCGCAGGGCAACGTGGTGGACCAGATGCGGCGGGGCGTCAAGGACCTCAAGACCATCTGCCCGGACGTCTCCAGCACACTCGACAACTTCCTCGAGAGGCTACTCGTTACCAGGATATCGAGGAGGTCAGTAAAAGAGGTCACACACAGGCAAGGACCATGATTGTTTGATGGGTGTGTGATGGTCTTGGTGGCTGTATAAAGGGTGTTGTTGGAGCATCACATCGGTCTCCACAACCCGCGGCCCGACTATGCGGGTGTGGTGCACCTCCACTGCCACCCCGTCGATGTGATAATGCACGTGGCGGAGCAGGTACGGGGCATCTGCAAGCAGACCTTCGGCCTCTCGCCACCTGTCAACATCAAAGGTGAGTCTGAATGACACGTGTTTTCGCGTCTGAATGGCGCGTATGTCTGTCAGGCAACCTCGAGACGACCTTCCCATTCATCCCCGAGCACCTCAAGATCATCCTCTACGAGATCTTGAAAAACTCAATGAGGGCGACGGTGGAGTTCTGCACTCTGGGCAACTCACTCGGTGCGTGCGGCAGACAACACAACACACAGGAGCACCACAAAGACAAGGGAGCTATGTGCGTCTGTGGTTTGGTGTCCGTCTAGGGTCGATTCCTGTGAACGACGACGATCTGCCGCCCATCGAAATAGCCATTTTCAAGGGTCAGAAAGACGTCATCATCAAAATATCAGACAAAGGTGGGACAACTGCTGGCTGGCAAAGCGGCAGAGGCAGACAGACCACCGTGCTGTGCTGCCTCTGTCTCTCGTGTGTGTGAGCAGGTGGTGGTATCCTGCCGCAGCGGCTGCAGCGAATATGGAGCTATGGGTCAGCCATACACACACGCGCACGCACACATACACACACACACACACACTAATACAAACACACAAGGCACGGCAGCCAGCGAGCGGGCCGATGGATCTATTATCATGGCGTTTCCGTCGTGTGCTGTGCAGCTTCACCACAGTAGACGAGTCGACCGACTCGAATGCCAGCCCCAGAGAGCGCAGCAGTGAGTTGGCTGGCTACGGCTTCGGCCTGCCGCTGGCGAGGGGATACGCCAGGTACTTCGGAGGTGACATACACATACAGGTCGGTAGGATGCGATGCAGCCGTGCACGGCCCACCGACAACCACGCACGCGCACATTCAGCCATGGCCTCCTCTGTGTGTGAATGTGTGTGTGTGCAGAGCATGTTGGGCCACGGCACTGACACGTACATCAACCTCAACCACGTGGGCGACCAGCTCGAAGCCCTCGCCGACTGGTCGGTGACGACGCCGCTTCTGCTGCAGCAGGTCGACTGCCACGGCGGCCCGACCGCATCGGCAGACCCCAGAAAAGAGTATAGGTACATCACACCCGCTGGCTACTCACACACATCCCAACGACCGACGTCCGTGTGGAACGGCTAGACAGACAGACAGACAGATGGCTGTTGGTGAGTGGATTGGATGTGTGTGTGGACTCACTCACTACAGACATGGATAGATACGTACGGGTGTGTATGGTGTGTCGGGGAGCCACGTGCTTTTTCTGCGGGGCGTTCGGGTGCGGTGTGTGCAGTGTCATCTGCCATGTCGTATGTATGATTGATGTGATGTGATAATTGTATGTACAGTCAGTTCACACAGGAAGAATCGATCTAGCTATCGCGGGTTGGTTGTTTCGTGTTGTTTGTTGCCGTCACTCGTCCGTCATCGGTGTGGCTGTGGCTGTAGCATATATGGATGGATGTGTACGCGTACGCTGGCTGTGGCCGGCATGCAATGCAGTGCGTGGCATTTACGTGTGTGTGTGGTGGCGCGGGGATTCCGATGAATGAATGGACTGTTCGCACATCGATGGATGAGCCAATCGAATTAATGTCCAGAGAGTCAGATCGACAGCGGTGAGCCAAAAAAGCACTGTAGCCCAGGCAAAGCCCTTACTGTCTATCGCCCCACACCACACACACGCACAGGAGAAAATCAGCGGACCACCCCATCGATATGCCGCCTCACACCCCATCACATCCATCATCTGTCGCATCATGGTTTGTAGAGGTCCGGTCTGCGGTGCTCACAGACGGGCATCTTCATCCTCACCCCAGCCAATATGGCCGCGTCCACCTCAGCCACCCCCAGCCTGCCCACCGACCCATCGCTGTTCGGTCCCAGCTCGCCGCCGCCACAGTCCACCAACACCTCTCCTGACACGACACACCATACTCACGGTGCAAAGCTCAGCTGCACTCCGATGCATCTCTGTGTGTGTGTGTGTGTGTGTGTGTGTTGCTTACTTACCCCATGGATTGATGATAACTGCATGGCCGTAGGAGTGCCGCTTGTCATTGTGCTTGCCACCCTGACCACACACCAGGCAGGCCATCGATGCATGGGAATGCACTTGGAAGTGCGGCGTCCATCTCACCTGTGCTGCCGCGATGACATAGCACTGCGTCTCGATGGCCCTCGCACGAAGCAGCGGCTCCCAGTGAGCCAATCCTACATACGAAACCCGCTGTAAGCTAAGCGACCGTTTCCATGCGTCTTGCGTGCCCTCCCTCCCTCCCTGAGGTGACCTGTGCGGAACGTGAATGCTGAGGGCACCAGCAGCACGTCGGCGCCGCGCAGTCGCAGGGCCGAGTACAACTCGGGAAACCTGCAGCCAGGAAGATACATACATACGATCCAGTGGAAGGCGTCAATGGCTGCACCTCTCTCTCTCAGATGCGACTGACTCACCTGAGGTCATAGCAGACGCTCAGCCCCAGCTGGCCTGCAGGCGACTCAGCCACCACCACCTCCCCCCCGGCCTCAGTGAAGGACGACTCTCGGAACTCCTGGGGATAGTTGACGTCGAACAGGTGGATCTTCCGATACACAGACACAATCTTGCCGTCGCTGTCGACGATGACGTGTGTGTTGAAGAGCTTGTTCGGGTCGGATGGGTTTCGCTCCTGGAAGCCGCCGTATGACACCCACATGCTGTATTTCTTGGCCAGGTCGCAGTAGCGGGTGAAGAGGGGGCCATCCAGGGGCTCGGCTATCTTGAGGGACTGGTGGAAGGACTCGCCAAGGAATGCAAAGGTCTCGGGAAAGAAGACCATTGCACAGGAGCGCTCCTTGGCCACCTGGAGAAGCCTCTCCGCCTCCTGTCGACACCGCACGACACACATGACATGAAAGTGAAGGGGCACGAGTGAAGGGTCCAGTGCAGTGCATGTGCACCCCATGATCTCTCGCCTGGAAGTTCTTCTCGATATCGGTGGTGGATGTGAGCTGCGCGACGCCAACGACGCATGAACTGCCGCCATCTGAGACTCTTTCGCCTCTATAGCCATCTGAGACTCTTTCGCCTCTATAGCCATCTGAGACCCTCATCCTCTCAACACAGCGGGAGAAGGGCCGCCGCTGATGCTGCTGCTGGTCTGTTCTCCGCGCACTGCCAGCGTGTGCGAGGTTGAATGCTGATGCGGATGCTGATGAGTGGCTGACGAGGCAGAGGTTGGCGAAGAGCGCGGCTGCGGTTCTTTGCTGACGCCACACGAGGGACAATTGCATACGGCGTCAGCGGTCCGCCGGACTCATAAAACCCAGTCCTCGAAGCGCAGATCTTTCGGCGATCTGCAAGCTAAGCTCGCAGGGGACCGTGAAGAAACGACGAAACAAGAACGAACAGTCAAACACGGCAAGGTCGGAATAAGGTGTCCTGCAATAATGGCCTCTGAAATCGTCTTCTGTAATGCATGTGTGTGGCTATGACAGCCATGGTCGTGAGCATCGCAGCCGCCCTTCTGCTGGCCCTTGACGCGGCCCACGTCGCCTCTGCAATGGTCCACGCACGGAGGGACGAGCCCGTAACACGGCTATCGACAGAATTCGTCAAGGGATACCGAAAAGACGTAAGCCCCGAACGATATATGTCAAACCCGCACCGGCCCGCACCCGCACCCAGTGCAGTGTGTCCGTCCGTCCGTCCGTCAGCTGACCGTGTCAGTCTTCGACGGCAAGGCCCAGCAGCAGCAGCAGCAGCAGCATCTCAAGTACAGGGGTAGTAGCATCATAGTGCCGAGGAGTTATGAGGAGTACATGACGGGCCTGATGCACAAGCGGGATCGGTGCGGCGAGTGTGGGATGGTGTTTATCTACAGGCAGGACGGGACGCTGTCCTTCATCATGGACAACACCCACATCGACTTGGTATGGTACGCACATCTCATCTGCAATGGCTATGAGTCCGTTCGGCCCCTTCTCTAGGACATGGTGTTTGTCAACAGTGACAACGTGATTGTCGATATCCAGTAAGAACGAAAGGAAGAACGAGGGGAGACAGACAGCACTCACTGATTATGATGATGTGTGTGTGTGTGCAGGCCCGCCAAGGCGCGGCAGGACGGAGTCATCTCGTCAACACGGCCTGCCAGCTACAACATCGAGCTCATGGTCGGCCGATGGATGGCTCCTCTGTCAGTCAGTGCATGTGTGTTGTGTGCCCGGTGGCTGTGTGTGTGTGTGTGTGTGTGTGTGTGCAGGGCGGCGTGTGCCGAGAGAGGGGTATTCAGGTGGGCGACAGGGTGCACTTCGATTGGCACATCCCATGCAGTGACTCCCGTGGCAATGGCAATGACGCCAGTGGAGAAGAGGTGTGTTTCAAGGCGTAATTGACGATGCTCGTCTCGTCGGTGCGTGTGTCGGTGTGACAGTCAGTATACAGACCTTTCTTCTGTGCGCATGACATGAACGGCTCTCTCTCTGTGTGTGTGTGTCGTGAATGCGTCACCTCTTCATTCACGTCTCCCTGTTTGCTTGCAGTGATAAGTCACGAACGTACCTACGCCACCTACGCACCAACGCCTTATCAATCCTTTCTTGCTCTCGCCAGCCAGACAGCCAGCCAGCCAGCCTGTCGTCTCCCTCTCTCTCCGTGTCTCGGACGGCAATCGGCAACGCGCAGCCTCCACTGCTGGTGTGCAGCAATAGGGCCTCACCTTGCCGACAGCCGTACAACACACAGAGACAGAGTACGACAGCAGACAGGTCGACACACAACAAAGAGTGAGTCACGTCATGCCATGCCACGCCCAACATCAGGCACACACACGTCAGCTTAGGAGGCCCTAGAAATGTCGATCGAATGGAAGGAAGAGGCAGCCAGGCAAGTGGGTGAATGAGTGAATGAGGGCGCCGGCGCATGACAGCACACCATGAGCATGGGCATGAGGATGACCATGGATGGATGCTGCGAGTGAGTCGAGGACGCGCAGCCTGCCTGTCGCACTCAAATCAGGTGGTGCGACGGCAGACAGGCGACGGTCGCTCGGGAAAACTCTAGCGCACGACGCGACGCGCACACACAAACGACCGACCATGCCTCTCTCTTATTCTCGTTGTCTTCCTTCTTTCATGTCATGCGGCTGAAAAATCCGCCCGCCTCCCGGCCCCCAACACAACAAAACCCAACAAGCCCACCAGGTGTCATGCCATGTCATGTGATGGATGCCATGAAATGTATGTCATCGTTGTCACAAAGAGGGTATGGTGTAGCTAGACGAAGAAGAAAGGGCTTACGATTAGATTGCGCACATGACATGAAACTGCGTCACAGCCATGCATGAGTAAGTGAGCGAGCAAGCACACACAGACAGACAGACAGCAAGTGAGAGAAGGAAGAGACTGACTGGTCAGTCAGTCGACTATCGATGGTGTGGATGGATGGATAGATGGATGGAATGACATGCATGGAATGGATGGATCAAAAAAGGGCTCTCAAGTCATTGGAAGCCCGGCTGCGCGTGCGCATCTTTCCTCTGTGCACCATCACCCATCCTGCGCCAGTGACCAGCAGCCCCCTCTGGTGAGAGCAGCTGCCACTGACGCCAAGATGGGCAATGGCGCACGAGAGGTAGATCGACACGCAACAACCACTCACAGCCAACAGTCAAGGCCATTCAGGCAGGAACACTCAAACCTCTCATCTCCGCCTGTCTTTCGCTTCATGTGCCGGGTCTCTCTGTGCCGGTCGCCTCCTCCAACTCAACCTCATCTGATCACGATGGTGTCACGTGACCAGCCAGAGGATGGGCTGACGGGAATGATGGACACAGAGAGACGCACAAAGCGATTGCTGCAAAACCCTCACTCAAGAGGGGCAAAATGACACCATTTCCACCACCACCACCAGCACCACCACCACCCCATCAGCCAGCAGACGACGACCCGACCACTCGACAAGACGACAGACGACGCACGACGCACGACACACGACAACACACGACCGACCGACGACCGACAGCCAGACCCCCTCACCTCACCCAGCCCACTTCCCCCATCCATCCCATCAGAGTGAACGCTGTCCGCGTTGGCTGTAACTAACGAGTGATGCACACCACACACCTGCCATACGACCACACACCACATCACCACGCCGGCCGCACCACACCAAACATGCATGCCACACACAACACAACACAGACAGACACAGGGAGATAGAAATATAAAGCCGGTCGGTCACACACCAGACCACCCTCCCGCGCAAAGAAGAAAGGAAGAAGGCAGGCAACGGGGCTCACTCGACAGGCGAACCACAGGCGCCGCGATTGAATTTCCCGCCTGCCTGCCTGTGCCACTCCACCCAGCAACCTGCTCTGATGCAATGCCGTCACACAACACCAGAGGCCGTTGCCGGGAGGAATGGCAGGCAGGCTGGCGGCAAAACAATCGCAGCCCATGATAGAACCGATGCTCGTTGTCGGCCTGCCTGTCTGGTTGCATCTGTCCATTCAAAAATCACTTGTAGAGTCTTTCTCTCTCAGAATGAGCCAGGGGAGGGGAAAGGAACAAGCGATCCAACCAACAGGCACACAGGACAATGAAGAGAGGCTAGAGAGAAGGGCTGGGGGTGGGCCGGGGGCGGGTGGGGTGGCGCTTAAAGGAAGAAAGATGCTCGCCACGCACAGGGTGGACGCGCCGACAACAAATAGATAGATAGGTCAAGAAAGAAAGACGTGAGCGACCAACAAGGCAACTGACTAAACCAGCAATCAATCAATCAATCCATCCACACAAACACACAGGCAGGTCGCGTCCTCCACGCCTCACCTCGCACCACACAGACACGCGCACACACACACACTTTTCTGTCTTTCCTCCGCTGCGCTCACACCCGTCGTCTCGCGTTTCCCGACGGGCAAATCATAGCTCTCCCCTCTCAGCCAGTAGCCAGCCCACCAGGCGCACACACACGTCCACGCAGCACATGCACACATTTTCACGCATATGCACACATAACATACACAGATGGTCTCAACTCGCAGCCACATGGTGGCCCGAGGATCGAAAAAAGGGCTGCATTTCTGCATCCATACTGCTTTCCTTGATGCATCTGAGCAGCCCTGCCCACGCCACACCCGCCACACCCACACGCATATGCACCACTTCACTCCATCACAGACACCCACCGATCCCAGCCATCCGGCCGCCCAAATGGAGCGAGCGGACCAGACAGAGAGACCGACGGGCAGACGGCGGCAGTGCACTGCGGCAGGAGCAGGTAGGTCAGTTGGCGGGGCCCTTGAAAATTGCGCCTGCGAAAAACGCCTGGGAAGGGGAGGGAGGGGGTGGATATGTATTGATATGTATCGGTATGGGCAGCCATCCATCCATCCATCCATCCAGGCAGGCAGGCAGGCACCAGGCTACTGGCGCTGGACGACACGACACACACACACATGAAGGCATGTAGAGAGAGAGAGAGATGAAGTAAGTGCGTGCGATGAATGCGATGGATGTCGGTATGGCTTATGGATCCCTCAGGAAGAGAGCGAGGGCCAGGAAAAAGACGCACGGCTTTGTGGGGGAATCAGCCGGCCGGAGCAACCAGACATACACACGGACACGCAGGCAGCCACACAGACAGACAGACAGACAGACAGGCAGACAGACAGCAGGGCGGTCACACACCCTCCGAACAAAGTGGAGGTGCGACGCGCCCGCCCGACAGTCACTCACAGAGGAAGCCATTGCAGCACCATAGGAATCACAGACAGACAGACAGACAGCCAGACGGACGGCCAGACAGGCGGACGATACAAATTAGCACCGCAGCGTACCACTCACACAACACAGCACAAGCAAGCAGACAGACAGACAGACGGACGGAAGGCCCCCACACTGCTGTTTGTTCTCAGTTACCTGGCTTAGTATCTATCGCCAGCCAAAGTGAGTAGTGAGTAGCGTAGCAGCCGAACCAGCCCAGCCCCCTCTCTCACCCCATCCCTCACCCTTCCCACCCCCCCACCATGAGCACGGACGCACGGACGCGACAGTCCCCCCCTCTGTGAGGCATCGTCACGCCTCAGCAAGTAGGTCGAAAAAAGCGGGATAGAGACCATCCATCCATCCATCCATTACGCCATGTTTGGCATGAGCGGTGGTTGGTGCTGCCCGACGCGGCAGTCGGCCTGCCACTGGCAGTAGCCGCACCCACACGACTCGCCGCCGCACCGGCCGTAGAAGTCGTCCTCACCGCCCAGGCCTGGGCGGCCAACACTGCCACCGCCACCGCCACCAGCACGGCGCTTCCTGCACCAAACCAACACACGTAGAGAGACTGCCTGCGCGAATGGTGGCGCGAGTGAATGGCGCGGCGGCTCACTGACCGTTTGCTGGCCTCTGCCATCTCTCTGAGCTGCTGCTGCTTGTTCTGTTTCTGCCGCAGGAACCGCTCCGAGATGGCGACGGCCTCATTCCAGAGGCCGCAGTGGACGGCCATGCGCAGCAGCTGCGGGATGGTGGCGCACTTGAGGCGCGCGATACTACCGACACTGATGTGATGACAGACGCAACGGATCACACACATAGACAGACACATGAATGTGTGTGTGGTGGGTGGCTGGTGTCTGTGTGTGGGGAAGGGACTGACTGACTGACTGACTGACCTGCTCTTGAGGTTCTTGCAGGTCCGCAGCTTGTCGCTGATGAGCGCCTTCAGCTCCGCCCTTCCCTGCTCACCCTACACACAACACAACACACATGACATCCATCACACCCACAAGTGTGTGAAGTGCCGCTTGCCCATTTCTAGTGTCGTCCGTCCCACTCACTCACCAGTGGCAGCTTCATATTCTCCTGGTAGGTCACAGTGCCCGTCGAGTCAGACACACACGGCGTCGCCACGGGCGGTGCCATCCCCATACCAACACCGCCCACACCCACACCCACGCTCATATGCATGTCGCCGGCGTGTGTGGTGGTGGCGTGCGATGCCGCCAGCACCGGCGCGCCAAACACACCCGACTGAGGCCGCACCTGGCGGCCCGCTGCGATGGGCGAGAAGGAAGACGGCGGGTGGGACATGACGAATGGCGCCCGGCTGGGCGCCTGTGGCGAGAATGGTGGCGTGTTGCTGGAAGGGCTGTAGCTGCCTGACGGGCTGGCGGGTGCGATGGGCGGGAGGAAGAATGGCGACTGGTTGTGGGTGCTGGTGTGGTTGTGGGTGCGGGGGAGTGTGTGCGGTGTGTAGGGTGCCACAGGCTGGTAGGGGAAGTGGTGGGGGATGGGGTGGGGCAGCGGAGGGGCAGCCGCCCAGGTCGGCGTGGTGTACTGCACCTGGCTGCAGCCATATATCCACAACGCAAGGAGAGCGAGACAAGGACAGGACAGGACCGATGTGTGTGATGTGGTTCTGTACGTCAGTTCTTTTGGTCTGTGTTTCGCATCTGGTCTCATCTCACCTGGCAGGTTGTGAGGGTGAGGAGGATCCCCCTCTGTCGGATCCCCCGTCGCTGCTCTCACTCTTGACCCGACCACCGCTGGAGTCCAGCCCCTGTGCAGGGGCAGCACCCACCCCCACCCCGCCCCACGCCTTGCCGGTCTCGTCTATCACCTTCTCCAGAATGCCGCGCAAGATCTCGCACTCCTCCTCGCACACACGACGCTTCTTGGCCGCAGACGGACCCCCTCCGAGCTCACTGCTGCTGCCACTGGTGGTGGTGGTGGTGCCCTTCTCGGTTTTGATGGCCTCCCTCTCGCGCTTCCGGTTGACGGCCTGCTCCTCGGAGCCCAGCACATCAAGCCATGACCGCTGCTCCGACGTGGTGGAGAGGTTGGACTCCTTCTTGGGGACGGCGAGGGGGAAGAGGGCCGAGAGGGTGGTGGTGGTGGTGGGCGGCGCTGGGGGGAGTGTGTGCTTGATGCGATTGGTGAGGAACGTCTCGTTGCCGGTGGCCATGGCGTCGATAAACGAGTTGCTCTCGAACTCGGTGATGTCGAAATCCAAATCGTAGCCGAAACTGTCACACACACACACACACACAACACACAACACAATATCACCACAATCACACATCGTGAGAACACCTTGTCCCTCTTCTCCCGTGCTACGCTACCTGCCGTTGGAGATGCGCCTGTCGATGTCGAGGCCGTGGGCGTCGCACTTGACCACCGAGGGGTCGTGTGTGTTGTCGTCGGTCATGCGGGAGTCGGCCGACGAGAGTGCCGGTGAGGCGGTGAGGGGGGCGTTGGCCGACTCGTTGGCCATCTGGCTGTGGTGCACCTGCACCGCGACGCTCCTGAACACCAGAGACACAGTGAGACATGCTGCCACTGCTCACCAACTCCTTGCTGGAGGGCTCCTTCGCCTACCAGTGGCCGGAGGCGTGGGCGATTTTGAGCAGCTCAGCGGTCGAGCTGCGGAAGAGGACCTGCAGGAACCGTCCACAGCAGCAAAGTGACCCTCACAAGTGCCCGAGACAGAATGTGCAAAGCCACGGCGCACTCACCACCCAGATCTTTCTCGCCTGGCTGCCCTGCCCTCTCTCTGCCCGCCCTCCCCTGCCCTCCCACCTGCTGCAGGTTGTCGACGGTGGAGAGGTAGTCGTTGGTGGATGCCGCCGACAGCAGAAAGTCGATGAGCACGAACTTGCCAGCCGTGCCCAGAGACAGATCAATGCCGTCCTTGTAGTCGTGCTTGTCTGTGCATTGTGGCACCGCACACACGAGCGGCGGGGTGGTGCCTGGCGTGGATGGGGTGGTTGATTCGGTGACGGTGGGTGCTGAGCCTTCACAGGCGGGCATGAAAACACCGACAGAGAGATGCGCTGGTGAGTCCAGGGGTGGGAGATCCGCGACGCAGGGATGCTAAGGAGCAGCAGGAGAGGCGCACACAGAGAGAGTTTGCCTTTTAAGGCTAAGCTCGCAAAGACTTGCGAGCTTCGGGGAATGACAGCGTTTGCCTCCCCCGATGCTTCGCGATCATCTTAGCCGCCTTTGTACGAGGCCTGTGACCGCGTGCCGTCCGTATGCGACGACAAAACCAGCAGCGCATCCGCCTCATTCATCCGGCAGCCCCCCGCCCTCACTTCGAATCACTCAGGATTTCGCGACCTCTGCAGACGGCACTACAAGCATCATGCAGCGGCTTCACATTGCTGCCATTACTGATCCCTCGTGTTTTGACTCATCACCCGCATGGGCGGCTCGCTTGGAGGAGGTGTGTGGGCGCATTGATGAATTGTCTGAGGACGACTGCCTGCGGCTGTGGCGCATTCTGGTGGCTGTCGAGTGTGCGGATGCAGATCTGCTGCTGAAGGTGATCTCGGGTTCGGCGCATTGTCGTCACTGGGGAGGCTGGGAAGATGGCGATGTCGGCTCGATGTCGCGGTATCGTTCTGAGGCACTGCTGGTGGATGTTGTTCGCTACCTCGAGAAGGGACAGCTCTTCCTGCAGCCTGCTCGGGACGCTGCCATCTCTTTCGTGGCTCAACGAGCGTGGAGCACCTCTCATCTGTCGAGTGACGACGTTCTGATTTTTCTCAAGGAAAGCTGCCGCGCCCCTCTTACACCCGGTGCACTGGAAGGAGCAGCAGAGTGGGTTGCGGACCACGTACGGATGCTTCGGGCAGACCAGTTGCTGACGGCCGTGTCCCTCCTCCTTCCATCCATCAACGACCCAAGTCAGCATTCGGCCGTGCTGCCAGCTTTCCGGGCCATTGCCGAGGCAGTGGAGAGCCGCTTCAGCTCGCTCGACCCACACACCCTTCTGCACATCATGGGCGGCTATGCGCTGGCCGGTGCGGGCAGCCCTGTGTCGTTCAAGCGGCTGCTTCGTCTGCTGGACCCTTCATTCGCCTCAATGGAGCTTCGGGACCTCTTTCTCTACCTCGTGTGCGTGGCAGCCGCGCCATCGGGCATATTGAGGGTGGGGAGTGCCGCCAAGGTGAAGAGGAGGCGACGGGCGGCCAGCAAGTCGATTATGGGGTATCTTGCGTTGCGTGAGAGGGAGGGGGCGCCGCAGCAGGTGGTCCGCTTCCCGCGGTTCGACCAGAGGGTGCTGCACTGCTGCCAGGCCGTGAGAGGCGACATCCTTGCCATGATGAGTGGGCGGACAGAGGGCCTGCCCGCGTCGCCCCTGCCTCTCCCATACTGCCTGCCCATTCTGCACACACTCGTCCGGTCGGCCATCGAGCGGGAGCTGGTCATGGTTGAGGCGCGGCCACTGATGCACGCTATTGCTGTGGCGCTGCTCAGTGACCCATCACAGCTGTCGGTGGCTGCTATTGGGGAGGCCACGGCTGGTCTGGCTTACCTCGGCTATGTGGGCAGCGCCGTGCAGCGGCGATATTACACCGTCATGCTCGAGCGTCTGCTGTTCGGTGACCAGGGGAGAGGGAGTGATGTAGAGGGTGCTGTGGAGAGGCTGCTGAGTGGCGACAAGCCAATGCCAGTGGCTTGCCAGAGTCTGTTCAGGGCCACATGGGCGGCAATGGTGGCCGAGTGTCATCTATCTGACGACCGGACCGCGGCTTCCCTCGCCACATCAGCGGCCCGAACACTCCTCTCATCCCCAGCTGTCGACACATCTCAATTGAGGGAGGCGCAGTGGGAGCCGTCTGCACAGCCATCCACCAGCAGCAGTGACGGCCCGCCCTTCAACCCCCTGTGGCCGGCTATGCCGACCTCTCAGCTGGCGAGGCAGGTGGCACTGATGGCCAAATGGGAAGTGGCTGGATGGACAGATGCGTGGGATCGGTGGATTGATCAAGGGGGCGACGAGCGGTTCATCTCGGGGCTGCGGAGGAGGGAGCACCAGCGGGTGGCGGCACTCCTGATGACCGCCATGGTGCAGCCCGACCGCCTTAAGACCCTCAGGCGCAAGAAGCGAGTGGGCAGCGACGTCGCTACGGATGGATGGATGGACACGGCCAACAGCCAGATTCGAGTCAAGGCCGTCAGTCCAGACGACCCCGCCTCGTCCCCCTGCCCATCGCCCTGCGACCTCATCCTTCAAGACACCGCCACTGGGGCAGCCCTGCTGGTCAGTGTGGTCGCCAAGAACGCCTCCGTGCTGTACCAGATGCGGCATGACCCCACCACCAACCTGCGAGTGCCACGGCGACAAATGGAGCACTGGTGGGGGGACGGTGCAGATGGTGCAGATGGTGCGGATGATGCGGGTGGCAGTGGCGACTCACTTGCGTACATTGGTCTGAATGGTGTGGACATGGTGCGGTATCGGCTGGTGACTGCATGGAATGAGGCTGTGCAGAGGGGCGGGATGGCAGATGGGGGAGAGGAGGGTGAGGCTGTGTGTCCTTGTCCTGCACTGAGTGTGGTGCTGCCTGTCGAGTGCCCTGAGAACGTGCTCAGAGAGACCGCTGAGACGTTGGTAAGACTGGTACCTCTGTGTGGACGCTAGAATGCTAGACTGATCGGTTGGTCGATGGATCGACATATTGGCGTCAATCAACTGAAAAGGGAGGGAAGCGTTGGCCCTTGCCCGCGTGCCCGCGAAGCGATACACCACACGCACGCAGAGTGAATCCATCACCCATCAACCAAACCCACATGGCGGGCGAGAAAAATGGCTGACGATCGGAAGGTCACTCACTACATTTCGTAGACTACAAACAGGCACCTCCCTTGCTGGGGCTCATACATACACGCCTGCCTGCTATAGGAAGTCGCTGTCAGGCTGGTCGGTGTCTCCGAAGTAGAGGTCCAGGGGATCTCCCTTGCCGGGGATATCCACCACCAACATCTCATACTCTAAATGACACACACACGAGTCAGTTGCGACGCCGTCACCTTTCCGGCGTTCCCCTGCCTCTCCCACCCACCCGCCCGCCCGCCCACCTATTGGTGCATTTGGTGGGATTCGTGGTCGGCCTGGCGCAGGGGATCGACCTGAACACACAGACAGACACGAAGACATCCATCCTCCATGCTTGTCTGTCTGTCTGTCTGTCTGTCTGCCGTGTGGATGCCACCCGTCCATGTCATGGATGGCACACCCACCTTGCTGCCCAAATGCGAGGGCGCCAGGGACCTTGAGCTTCCACCTGCACACAAAACACACACACACACACACACACACACGCATCGATCAACAACCAGGCACGCCGCCCTCGCTCCCTCCTCCCTCTTCTCACCTGTCGCCGACCCGCATCATGAGAAGTGCCTCCTCCAGCCCTGCCACCAGCTTGCCGCCTGCTGCCCGTGCATAGTAGGGCTCAGACGTCCGGAACAAATCGTCTATCACAATATTCTGCACGCACACAACACAATACGAGCCGGTCCGGTCAGTGAGTGAGGTCAGGCCGGCAGAGGGCTGGATGCGCAGATACTTTGTATTGTCCTCTGAACCGGATGACGACCAGATCGCCCGCCTCGACCTTGGGGCCCTCCCCACTCTGACGAGCAGAACAACACACACCGACAGACACGCACACTGCAGAGGATGGCATGCGTTCCGTCTTGTCATTCGTGTGTGTTCTGACCTTGAGCACAGAGTAAGCCAGCCCGCTGTCAGTCTCCTTCCAGTCTTCGCCATCTGACAATCGGCACAGACCAATCATCACTCAAAGCCTGAAGATTGCGAATAAGGCTGGCTGCGATGAGTGACTGCAGTCACCAGCGAAAGCAGCGCCCCTGATGCCCAGCCCGCTCAGCAGCACACCGCCCAAGAGAGCCTCAGCCATCCTCCCCAGCTCCCGCCTCCGCGTCACATCGGCATCATTCTCGCGCAGTGCTTGGCTGACTGTCGGCCTTCTCAGTGCATTGCGATAGACAGATGTTGACTGCGGAGAGGGAGAGAGAGGGAGCCGAAAAGCAAAGGACGAAGACGGAAGCAATGAGAGGAGGATGAAGAGAACTGCTCGAGCGGCTGCAGGACTCATGGTTGAATGGGGAGATCTGCGCGTCCGCTCTTTCTCCGCGAGTGCGAGCTTAGCCATGACGAACTTGAAGGAAGGCAATGACGAGCAGAGGAGCCTTGGTGTCTGCAACAGGTTGTGAGTCGGCAGATCGGCTGATTCTCACCTCGCAGAAGTCGTTCGAGCAGATCATGCAGCAGTTTGAAGACGTGAAGACCAAGGCAGAAGGGGATGTGAAGGCCATCACGGGCGAGATCTTGGCAATGGTGGCAGCACGGGGCGGTGTGTGGCAGCCCTTGGACACCAGCGGGGAGATGCATGTCAACGCAGGTGGGCGGCGGGTCCATGTGCACAGGACTCGCAGCCAGCCAGCCAGCCAGCCACATTCATTGATTCATCGCTGTGCTCTTTTTGTCTGTGCGCATTCGCAAACAACAAACAGGTGGCACCGTGTTTCCTGTCAGCCGCCGCGCCCTGCTGATGCCGGCCATGGTGCACAAGTACATCTCGGTTCTGCTGATGCACCACGCGGACGGCCTCCCAAGAGATGCCGACGGCCATGTCTATCTGGAGACCTCACCCGCACACTTCGAGGCATTTCTGGACGAGCTGACGCTCTATGAGACCGGCCGCACCGACACCGTCCAGCTGCCGGCATCCAAGGCCGACGATCCCGCTTACAACGAGTATCACGCCCTCTTCATGCGAGACATCGGCTACTACACGGCCACCCAGGTGCCCACAGGAGCTCACACCACACCCACCACACCGACGGACGCCCCATCCGATGAGATACGGCAGCACACACAGGCCTGGGAAGCGTCCCTGCGTGCCCACGCGACGGCCGTCAAGCGACTTCGCGCGATGCGCGACGGCATCGGGCGCTTCCTGGAGGCCATGGAGCCCTTCTTCGCCAGCCAGGACGAGAGCAACAATGAGATCCTGAGCCTGACGGTTCTCGGCCGCAGGGTGTCGGTGATGCGCAAGACGCTGATGCGGCTGGGACCTGACCACCCCCTGCTCACGCGCTTCTCCACGTAAGGGGCAGTGGCATGCATGCCCGGACGCAAAACGCTTGGATGGCTCGTGCTGTTGTGTTCAGGACTCCGCCCTGCTGGCAAGGCCGTCAGGTCGACAAGACACCGGCGCGGCACTTTGTCAGCATCGTAGACTTTGCCCGCCGCATCTCGACCATGTCAGGACAGCTCATCCGGCCTCCACTGATCGAGCAGGACAAGATGCGACACTTCGTTGAGGACACTGTAAGGGCAGACAGCAGTGACGATTTCACCCGGGAGCATCGTGTTGACGGTTGTTCATGTGTGTCAGGAGATGTATGGTCTCAAGCACGAGCCGTCGGTGCCCCGTCTGGACGAGGGCAACCTCATCATCAAGACGCAGAGCGAGATGGCCGAGGTGCTCGCGATGACGGGCAAAGACTCATGCACAGCCACAATCATATACAAGTCAGTCAGCTAACGCACAGAGAGACAGCTGTGAGAATGTGCCCTCAAAGGCTTTCTTGTTTGTATGGCTTGTGTCTTGTCCGGCAGGGGCAGCCGTGGCACGCAGCTGACGTTGTACCCCAAGATGCTCGAGTGCGTGGCGGGCAAGAGCGGCCTGCTCTTCGCCATCAGGCAGGGCGACACTCACCGATTCGGGTGCTTCATCGACGGCGAGCTGACACCGCCCCAAGAACCCACACAGACGAGCGGCCTGTACAAGGTGCCCTTATTCTTCTTTTCGCTGTCCGGCGCCTACGACACACCGACCAAGATCGAGCTGCCGAAGGACAAGCAGTATGTGGAGGTGGCCGGCACACAGGGGGCAGTGAAGGCCGCCAACATGGACAGGCGTGCCAACGTGGTCATCGGTTACGGGCGTCTGTGGCTGGGGTACGCTAACCCGGGTCCGGCGGCCGACCTCAGCAGCTGCTGTCAGTGGATCAAGAGGGGCCACATGCCTGCATGCTACAAGGGGGAGACCAATAAGCGGGGCAACGGGACTCTCGCCGCTACGCACGATTTCACTTTCACTTTCGACGAAATGGAAATCTACCACGTTGAGACCGTCAGTTCGGCCACTGCAGTGGGGGGCAGGGCGGGCAAGCCCAGGGGACTCGTGGACTGGCTCTTCGGGGCATGCAAATAGACTGACTGACTGACTGCCGGACGGACGGACGGGTGGATGGATGGATGGATGGCCTGCCTGCCACAAGGGGAGCGTAAAGAAAGGCCGGCGTTGGTATGTGTGTGTACGTGAGAGTCATGTGTGTCATGTTGATGAAGGGGTTTTATGAAGGATCAGAGAGCAGATCACTTGCCGGTCGGTGGCGTATACCTCTGTGTGTCTGGCTGGTTGCATACTAGTTTTAACAGATGGCATTTTCCTGGTGCTGTTCTGCCCCTTGCTTCTGTGTCTATATATTCATCGATGACACAGAGAGAGCGCGAGAGACTCTAACACGTTCGCGCGAGAAACAGACTCCTTCTCATTGAAACAGACTCGAGAATGGCCAGCAAGTAAATGAATGAGTCACCGAATGAGTGAATGAGTCATTCACTCTGAGACCTCTCTGCAGTACTGATGAATGAATGAATGAGTGAATGACTCAAAACGAGTGAATGAGCCATTGATTGAGTTATTGATTGAATAGATGATTGAATCACGCTGTCGAACCGTTCGACCTGGCTGCCACATACAACACATGTATGTGCGCAGGAGCACAACGGTGTGTAGACCCATTGTGCAACGTTGTGCAACGTTAACACACAGGAGAAAGAATTGACCATTCCGATCCTCCCCTCTACGAAACCACATGCATATACACACGGACACTATGGTATGTACAGGTAAGGTACATATGGCAGGTATGCTACCCGTATACATACATACATACATGTGCATGTATATATATGAACCCTTGGCGAATGAATGACGGAAACCACGTCCGCCTCCCCTGCCTTCCATTCAGGCATGTGTAGGCCTAGGCTTACCCATGCTTTTAAGTATCAGAATTCCACCCGAAAACCGAAGGAGAGAAGTCCACGTGAGTCGCTATGTGTGATCGACAGACAGCGGACACGGGTCAATCACCCTCCATTTATCTGGTCGTCGCGGGGGGATGAGGCGGCTGTCGAGGGAGGCTCGGATGCTTGCAGCTGCATGCACGACACACACACGCACCCAGCACAGGTGAATCGCGCATCCCTATGTCTTTGTCGCGCGGTGTGTGCCTACGCGTTTCTTCAGCTCGTTGACTTCACAGCGAAAACTGAGAGCAGGCAGAAAGAGAGAGAGCAAGGCTCTTGTTCATGTGTGTGTTCGGTTCGCCCTGCCTGACTGTCTGCTGCGATCCTCACCTGGCGAGCTCAGCCTCTGCTTTGTCGAGCCGCTTGCGTAGTTGTTCGTCATCGTGCACTCTCTGCACACATGGATGGATGGATGGAGGGAGGGAGGGAGGGAGGGAGCACATGTGTCGATGGCCTTTGGCTGATGGGTCCTGACCCATTTGGCTTTGTGGTCGAGCTGACCTACGTCAGCCAGCAACTGCACACACAGAGGACAGGCACACACACAGCAAGCCATCCAGAGCCATCGGCTACGAGCGCCTGACACCGCTTACTTGCGAGAGTTCGCCGCTGTCGGCCAGGTCGGCCAATGCGTAGTCGTAGACCTTGGGTCTGTACGACACGTCCAAATCTGACTCCCCCCCGCCGCACACACACAGACACACACACACAGACACACACACAGAGAGAGAAAGAGAGAGGCGTGTCTTGTCTGCCCACACTTATCTCGCTTTGTTACCTTTCTGTCGACACATCGACAGCATGAGCACATCTGCCACCCACACACGGATATCCCACACACAGAGATGGACAACCAAACAGTGAGTGAGTGGGTCCGTATGGATTGCCTACAGAGCCTAGTGAGCGCAGATTTCAGATTCTCGTCAGGAGGGGCCCCGGGGGGTCTGCAACCAACAACAGACACACAGATGCACGCAAAACAATTAAGGTTCTCAGATCAATCAATGCTGTCCACGTTTGTTTTCGACCTGCCCTCCATGAATTCAGCCAATGCGGCCTCCCCGTCGGCCACCCACTGCAGGAGCTCTTCATCAGTCGGAGGCGGCCCAACTTCCCCAGCCAGCCGCTCCTGGCACACACACACACACTCACAGACAGACTGCAGTGTGCTGAATTGTTCGCCCACTCACCGTTGCAGCTTCCAGGTGGGTGAATGGGGGGGTGAATGGGGCAACAGCGCTTTCGTCATGCGAGGTGGCTTGCAGAGGGTGGCGAGTCTGCCGCACCCTGAGGAGCCGTCCACTGGGTTCACGGCCGATGGCGCATTCATGGGCGGCTGCGGTAAGAAACGACGCAAGTTTGGCAGATGCAGAGGCTGCTGCTGCTGCCAAGAGGAGAGCGGCAAAGACGGCGTACGGGAAGAGGCACATCACTTGAGGCACATATCGTTGTTACGAGATCGCATGCCGCCCGTGAGTGAAGACGAGCACTGCAAGGGGAGATCCGCATTCAGTGACCGGGGAAGAGAGCGGTTTCACTCAATGACAGACTGCTGTTGGTTCCGTCATTCATTTACTGTACAAATAATACAAGGCAGTCCACATAGAAAGCCTAACAATCACATTGTCTGTGCTCACTACCCACATCAATCAATCCATCAGCTCCACCCCAACGACACACACAAGCGACACACTCAAAACACGGCCTCTCGGCCGGTCTCCACGAACAAGGCCGGCTGCTGCACTACAGATGTGTCATTCATCGCTTGGTGGTGTCTGGTCTGTATGGGTTGGCCTCCATGACGTGGGCCCTCTTGTATCTGCTCAGCACCCTGCTGAAGTCGCCCTGGGCCTCTTCTTGTGCTTGTGCCGTCTCCTCCCTATCATGTGCCGCCCTCTTGGCCTCGTACTTTAGATACCTGCACACCCGAGAGAGGCGCACATACAGCAATTCATCCATTCATCAACCGTCCATCCAGCAGCGGACGGTTGACAGCACTCACTTGAAGTAATTGAGGTTTGGGTACTTCTGCACCATGACCTTCAGGATGGCCTGTGCACGCCGATCGCGGAGCGTCATGTACCGCTCCGTCAACTTATCGGCCAAATACTGATGGATACATTGACGACACACACACACACACACACACACATCGGCTCCTCCCTCGTGTGGCTGGCGGCTGGCTTATCCATCTCATCCATCTGACCACCGACCTGCAGTGGGTCCATGACGGGCATCATCTCTGCTGGCGTGGGTTTCCAGTCGTATGGCAGGACGGCCATCTGGCGGGCCTGCACGATGCTCCCGAAGATCGTCCGCTGCTGGCGACGGGTGGCGTGTGTGATGCGCCGCGGCAAGATGAACCCATTCTCAGACACAAAGTGATGCAGCACGTCCACATCCCTCCAAGTCAGATATCTGCCGTGGTTGCGCAGGATGCGCCTCATGACGGGTGGAGGGTCCCAGAACTGCTCGTCGGTCTTGTGTGGGGTGGGGAAGGGGTCCACTGGCGGGCGGCCGCGGTTCCTCTCGGCACTGTAGGGGTCGTACATGCGGTACTGACGCATCAAACTCCGCCGGATGGCAATCCGCTGACGACGCGCCTCGGCCGCACCGACCTGTTGACACCACACCACACATGGACACACACACATAAATGGATAGTCGGCCCGCATTCTCCGTCCGTTCTGCCCCATTTACGTACCATTCTGGCATAGTCGTTGAACTCAGCGGCGACCTGCTCCTTTAGGTCGTCATTCTTGTGGAAGGGGTTCCAGTAGGGGTCGATGTAGTGGTTCTGGTGCTCCAGCCGGGGCGCCACCTCCCTCTCAGGGTCCACTCGCTGGAAGATCTTGCGGGTGATGTCCAGCTCCTCCATCGTCAGCTTGTTGATGGTGGGCGAGGGGCGCGTGTCGACGTCAGGGTCGTGCTGCAGCCGATGCCGCCGAATGCTGTCCAGGCACTCCTTGAACAGCGCATCAGCAGAGCCGAAGGGGCTCACCTTCTCCTCTTGCACACCGCCGCTCGGCTGTCGCTTCAGGTCTTCGAAGAGCTCATTGAAGGTGGGAGAGGCGCCCTCACCACCGCCCTTGCTCGCATCACCCTCCCTCGCTGCGCCACCGGCCGCTGCGGCATCTTGCTGTCCTTTTCGCACAGGATCTTTCGCTGCTGTTTCCATTGACTTGCCAGGCTCCACCACTCGCCTGCTCTGTGCCGTGGAAGACGGCCTCGATGGTCTTGATGACGAGAAAAGGCGTGCGGAGAGATGGCGCGCCGCTGGAAAGCCCGGGATGAGTGAACGAGCGGGAAATGTCATGGGACACGGGGAAAGTGAGGCAGATAGAAACCTCCTCCGAGGCCAAGCTCGCACATGGCGCCTAGGGTGCCACATGAAACTTTGGGATCAGCGCATCCCGAGGGCGCCATTTCAACAGAACAGGTCGTATCTGTAGATCCGAGTGCCTATTTTCTCGTCCCTGGTCACGAATCACCGAGAAACTCATCACTGTCCTCCTGCCAATCTCGCCGGCCCACCTTCCTACCTCTATGGTGCCGCCGACTCAAGCCATACACAGCAACGTCAGCCGATGGCGATGTGCGAGGCGGCCGCGGCCTTCATCTTCCGCCTGCAGCATCTCTATCCTTCAGCTCTTGTCAGCGGCTGTCCTCTTGTCCACCAACGGACGGCACCTGGTGGATGCCGCAGCAGCAGCTGCATCGCCGTATGGTTATCGGGCTTCTGCTTTCGCTCCAGTTGTCCGGCCGCCATCGCCTCGTCGCGACCAATCGATGATCTGTCTGCAGAGGGCCCGCAGAGCCTTTCGAGATGATGCTCTTCATCGGCGCTCAGTCTGGTCATTTTGGGGGGAGAGGGAAAGCCATCTTCAAGCGAGGAGGAGGTCTGTCAACGATCCCAACGTCAGCAGGAGGGACGCGCCCTTACTGCCTCTCATCAGTGCTATTGCGGCGGCATCCTGGCAGCTAGCTGTGAGCATATCGGCGAGTGCGGCGGAGGGTGGCGAGGGAGAGAAGCGGCTGTGGATCAGCGGCAAGAGCACCGAGCCGAAGAAGGACCCCAAGGCGCGCGAGGGCACGAAGCGCGACCCCAAGTTCCTCAAGTGTCTGAGTCAGTGTTTGAGTGAGTGCAAGAAGCCGGGCAGCTATGGCTACTCGAAGAGCGAAGATGAGTGCCTCGAGGACTGCCGCGATGAGTGCTGCTTCACGTACGAGCAGTGCTCGTACGCAATACGTTGATGGATGGTCAGGCAGGGATGTCTGTATGGTGCGTGTGGTGTGGGTGTGGGTAAGGAAGGGTTCGCTCATGTGTGGAGGCATTAGAGACGCAGTGGTATGATAGGTCAACTGCTGGTGAATGGACCGATTCAGAGTTCACCACACGACACATGGTCCATGGCCAGTTGCACACACATAGATGAGTCGAGGAATGCACTCAGAGGGTAGCCACCAACGTCGCCATCAAGGCAGGTCTGTCAAGAGTAGATATCATTTATCCACATCACGCCACAAACGCAGCTATCGCGTGATCTTGACTGACTGACTCGTGCGATCCATCTGTCTCTTCTTGCAGTCATGCCTCTCCCGTCAGTCACATCTCTTCACTAGGCTCGCATGCAACAGCCATCCTTCTTCGCATCCTCCTTCCACGCCACCCGCAACACGGGAAACGTCTGTCTTGTCCACAAGCTCAAGCCCTGTCCATCATCACACAAGAGGGCGAGAGAGACAGGGCGTGAGCGCAATGATGGGTGTGGCCCTTCCCCTCCCCCCTCTCACCCGCTCGAAGATCGGTCAGATCACTGCGTGCGGCGCTCCACGTGCAGTGACAGGTCGTGGAAGAAGAGCCGATACTCTTGGGGTCTGAGCATGGGGCGGGCCGGCCGCGAGAGGAATCGCTGGTGACATGCGTCGAAGATGTCTCGGTCTACAAAAGTGACTTTGGTCGTCTTGTGGCCCTGTAAGAAGACAGCCCAAGCAAAGTCAGACACACACGCCGTATCTCTGTGCACTCTCTAGTGACGTGTGTGAGTTGTGTTAGGGAAAGACCTTCAGCTCGGTGGACGAAGTGACCACTTCCATGAGGTTCGTGTAAAGCTCATCAACGTCGGCATCCTCATCCAAGTCACCTACTCCCCCCACACATACACCACATGGACGGTGTCTGCCAGCGTGACACGCACCACCCATCTCTCACCAGGTCGAATGTCCATATGCACGGTTTCGACACGGGGCATCTTGTCAAGGCGGCTCCACAGGAAGGGGCTCGCCCCATCCCAAAGCGTCCCACTGCCCTGCGTCAGGTCGGCCGCTAGGCGAGAGGACACCGTGCCCACGCTCCTCTCGCCCTCCCCCCTGCTGACCCACTCTGACTGCAGCCCCTCCAGAAAGCACCACACCTTCGACAGCGGCACAACATTTCTCGCTGCCACGATCGTTGTCAGGTTGGGCATATGTGAGGCCACCTCGATCGCCCGCTGCTTCTTGTCTTCGGTCGCAAGAACGCCACCATGCAGGAAGAGGGTGTGGGCGGCGGGGAATGTGTCGTCACTGATGGGTGCGGGGTGGGGCTCGTCATGTCCTTTATAGGTGACGGTGGTGGCCGTCTTGACGAGATGGGCCAGCACCTCCTGCACGTGAGGCTCGGTGGTACGGGAAAGGACCTCGATGTCGATCCGGCCGCCACCAAAGTCGATGACGGGCTCGGACAGGGCCGCTGGATTCGCTATTGCGTCCCTAAGTGACCACGGAAACACGCACCACAGCACCACTTCGCTGGGCTCTCTGTTTTGCCCCCTTTGTGCCTCACCTCAGTGCCACAGCGCTCCTCAGCCCCTCCACTTCGTGAGCATCGTCACGAACCGACAAGATGTTGAGTCGGAGGCTGCGAAGTTGTCGACGAACACGCCTGGCCACCAGCGCCTCACGCAGCCTGTCGGTGTCCTCGGCACGCCCCAAGTCGAGGTGGAGGATGTGAAGGGAACTGAACGACCTCCCGGCGGGCAGCTCACTCACCGCACTGGCGACCATCGCAGTGCCATCATAACCACTAATCAGCACCTCCAGCCTCTCGCAGCAGTCGGCCAGCCATGCCTTCACACAATTGCCGCTGGGGAACAATCCATAGTCGTGGCTGAATGCCTTGACATTCGGCGTCTGCCAGTTGCGGCCCACGCGAGCGGCCGCACACTCGTTGGGTATGTCCTTGACGGTCGTGAGTGCGGGGAGGCGGACGGGAGCGGAGGGGGCTGGCGGCAAATCAGATGAGGGCGGAGGGTTGGGGATGTCAATGCTGCGATCGAGACTGACACGCTCGAAGGTCAGCACCTCCAGTGTGCCCTCATCGTCCGACGACTCGTCACCACCGTCCACTGCTGCTGCAGCACCGCCTCCCTGCTGCCGTCTTTTCTCCTTGTCGGCCGCCAGTGCCGCTCGGCCGGCCGCATGACCCTCTACGACACTCACCCAGGTGCCCAGGCACCAGTTCGGCGCGTAGTCGGGGTGGCGGAGCTTGACCTGGCGAATGCGTGAGGCCCTCCCGCCCCACTGGTGTGCCACAGGGATGGGCATGGCCTCCCACATGCGCCTCGAGTGGTCGTCCTCGCAGTTGATGCTGATGTGGGTGTGATTGGTGGCCGATTGGCGAAATAGGGCGGGCCCGAGGGCGTGGCGGATGGGTGTGAGGTGCCAGGGGGGCAGGCACCCGAAGACGATGGCGAGGGTATCGCGGAAGAGCTGATGACGAGCCTATAGAGTGGCAGACAGACAGCGAGAAGACGCACAGGTGGTAGTTTGATATGCGAGACTCATCGTTTGTGACTCCTACCGGTTTCTCATCGACGGGCGGAGGCTGGCCGCTGCAGTGGATCTGACGGTACGGTCGTCTGGTGGCTACGGACACCTGCAGTGCCACAGTGACGTACAGCACACATACAAATGTCAAAGTCGTTCATGGTGAGGATGTATTGGTCTGCCCCTCACCTGCTGTGCGTTGGTGTCCTCACTCGCCGCCGCCGCCGCCTCACTGGTCGGTGTGAGTGCCGCCACGGCCGTGGCGAGGCTGGGATGCCCCTCCTGCAGCTGGGCAGTGGCCAGCCGCACCACAGATGCCATCGAGCCCAGCTGATGACTCAACAGCAATGCCGATGGGGAAGCCGCCTACGTGGTGACACACACACGACAGCCGACAAGAGCGATTCCAAGGGCGTCGGCGTCCGAACTGCTTCTACACGTGGCCACGTGTGTGTCACTTACCTGTGTGGCGATGTGGTCCTGGTGCTGCTCGACGTGTGACACCTGTGCGATGATCTGCAGAAGCCATCCGGGAAACACACAGCGCGCCGCGCCTGCTTCACTGATGAAGGCCTTCGTGTGATGGGTGTGTGAGAGCATCGTACCTGATCTAACTGGTCCCGCAGCTGTCCACAGCCCGCCTTCAAAGACTGGGCATTCGCGACAAGCTGCGCCAAAGACACATACACATCGGAGGGATGAGTTCTGTCCAGGTCCTTCCTGACATGTGCTGCTCGTCATTCACCGACCTGCGTCAAATCCATGACGATGTGCTAAACCAACTCACTCGCTGGCTCCCTCGGGCCACTCTCACATACCAACAGCCGTGAACCCACTGCAGATGAGCCGTGAACCCCCTGACGTAGCCGCTTCTCAACGCTCCGTCAGGTGCAGGCTCAGATCTGCAGCACACACGATCAACACAGCAGCCACAAACAGACACCATCCAGCCATTCATCCATTCCATCCTTCCCTCCCGCCCCTCGTGCAGTGAGTGACCAGTGAGTGCGTCAGTCATCATCTCACCCGACAATGTCGATGGTCGCCAGCTGTGGCCTCCCTCACAGTGGTAGAGGCGATGGGAGCGGAGCGATGAGAAGGTCGAAACACCGTCAAAACAGAGGCCAATCGCCGGTTGACTCATCCATGCGGACACGCCAGCCACTATATGGCTCACAGGCTCAAAATAAGCGAAAACCGCGTGCGAGCTCTGAGTTCCGAACGCCGTCAATCTATCCCATCATCCTTTCAGCATGTCGGCGATGCATACGGGACCGATCCCCACGCTGATCTTTCTGTCCTGGCTGCTGTTTTTGACATTTGATGATCATGCCGTCAAAGGCGTCGCTGCATTCACCTCTGTGCCCCACCAGCGGTCCCTCAGACCCGCCCTCTTGTCCACGAGAAGACGCCCTATCGCCTCGTCCCTCACGCGAATGGCGCACGCAGCTCCCACCGGCTCAGAGGAATCGATGAAGGCCACCTTCGATGAGGCTACCAATGGCGTGGAGTCGTTCAAAAGGCGCATATCGCTGCTGGGGTCGACGGGATCCATTGGCACACAGACGCTGGACATCATTCGCGAGCGGCCGCAGAACTTCGAGCTTGTTGGCCTGGCTGCCAGGTCCAATGTGGAGCTGCTGGCTGAGCAAATCAGGGAGTTCCGGCCAGCGATGGTGGCTCTGGAGGACGGGAGCAAGCTTGGCGCACTGGAGGCGCTGCTGGAGGGGATGGAGGGCGACAGGCCAACACTGGTGACAGGAATGGATGGCGTCTGTGAGGTGGCCAAGATGGACCAGGCGGACATGGTGGTCACGGGCATCGTGGGCTGCGCCGGGCTGCTGCCGACCATTGCGGCTATCGAGAACGGCAAGGACGTCGCGCTGGCCAACAAGGAGACCCTCATTGCGGCCGGGCCGGTGATTGTGCCTCTGCTGAAAAAGCACGGCGTCTTCATGACTCCCGCCGACTCAGAGCACTCGGCGATATTCCAGTGCCTGCAGGGGGTGCCGCCAGGAGGGCTGCGCAAGATCATCCTGACGGCGTCTGGCGGGGCCTTTCGCGACTGGCGCAAGGAAGACCTGGTCAACGTGCGTGTGGAGGACGCATTGAAGCACCCCAACTGGGCGATGGGTGCCAAGATCACGATCGACTCGGCCACTCTGATGAACAAGGGTCTGGAGGTGATCGAGGCGCACTACCTGTTCGGTGCGTCGTACGACGACATCGAGGTGGTCATCCATCCCCAGTCCATCATCCACTCGATGGTCGAGACCCAAGACACCTCAGTCCTCGCGCAGCTCGGCTGGCCAGACATGCGCCTGCCCCTCGTCTACGCCATGAGCTGGCCCCACAGGATACCCATGCACGCCTACGAGCGGCTCGACCTCGTCAAACTAGGCAGCCTGACATTCAAGGCCCCCGACTTCGACAAGTACCCCTGTCTGCGGCTGGCGTACGAGGCAGGCAGAATGGGCGGCACCATGCCGGCGGCTCTCAACGCGGCCAACGAGATGGCGGTCGAGCGGTTCAGGCAGGGGGAGATCCATTATCTGGAGATCCCGAAGCTGATAGAGTTTGTCATGGATGCGCACAGGGGGGATCACAAGACCGAGGGCATCACGCTCGACGACATTCTGGCCGTTGACGCGTGGGCGAGGGAGAAGGGGAGAGAGTACGTCCACGTGCCACAGAAGCAAGAGCAGCAGCAGCAGCAGGAGAGGGAGGGTTTAGTTGGCAAGGCAGACGAGAGTCTGACGCTGACGTGACAGTTGCTGACGAGAGACCATTTGAGATGTCCTCGATGCGACGCGATGCGACTGTGATAGGCTTTTGATATTGTTGACTGACGTCTTTGTTGCATTCAGTGACAAAGGACTGATGAGTCGTCAACTACGCCTGAAATGAATCCTCCTCACTCCTTTGTGACTCATGCGTCTCTACACATCCCACACACGACATCCCATCACGTTGAGGGGACAAATTCGCTGACACACAAGTAAGTCCCTCCCTCCCTCCCTCCCTCCCTCCCTCCCTCCCTCCCTCCCTCCCTCCCTCCCTCCCTCCCTCCCTCCCTCCCTCCCTCCCTCCCTCCCTCCCTCCCTCCCTCCCTCCCTCCC